TTTTTTTTCGGCCCCCCCCCCCCCCCCCGGTGAGGCAGTGGCACATTTGGTAGTTTTAATGTCATATTAGGTTAATAGGTTAACTACTGTATTTATTTTTAGTTGTGAATTTTGTATGTGAATGCTTTTACTGATGCACACCACCCTGAGCCGTTCCACAGGGAAGGGCGGCCTAAAAATCTAATTTAATAAATAAATAAATAAAGTGGGAGGAAACAATGGTTCAGGACTAGCTACCTTTCTCACTCAGGTCCCATGATTTACAGGTGTAACACTGGGAACAGTTTCCTTTTGGATATGTTCCATTTTTATGCAGCCAACAGTAACATAGTTTGTTGGAGGAATGTTGTTTGCAAGGGGATCCCACAGCTAGGGAGGCAGAGGAAACAGGATGACTGCTGGAGGCATGGATAATAGGGATCTTCCCCTAAAGGGACAATACTTTGTATTCGAGTCAAAACAATCCAAAGCTGTTGGTAGAGCTTTAGCACATGTCAAGCACATGGGCCAACGGCTCTGCCCCACATTGTATTTTCTGTTCCAACCACTGACTGTTGCAGGATGTTTCTTTATTCATTTAGATCCTGCCCTTTTCACGTCATTGTCCTCTCCTTTTGTTCTCACATTCACTGTGTCAGGTAGGGGAGGCTGAGTGTTTGCAACTGGCCTGAGGTCCCCCGAAAGCTTCCTTGGCAGAGATGGGGGTTCAAACTTTGGTCTTTCAGATCCTAGTCCGACACTCTGACCACTGCACCACAATGGCTCGCTCATTCCACCTAGATGGCCCGTCTTCAATTGTAACCTTAACTCCACACAGAAACTGTTGATTGCTTGCAGAACTATGCTATGTAAAAATATTGACGTACGGTACATATTGCTGTTCTTATTCAACAATGGATGGAAACTAGGAGACAACTGATATGCATGGTCCAGTTCAGATGAAGATCTTCGAAACGACTTGATAGTCCGGAAAATTTCGTCAACTCAAACTTATGTTTTGGACCTTTCTTCCACTTGTATTTTTGTATACATTTTTGTATTCTATAATTGTTTACAATATAGTATTGTTTTTGCATTATTTAGCACATGTATACGGCTTCTTTTCTCTTGTTCTCTGGATATTATGAGCTGTGATTCTCTAGTTCTGTTTTGCAGGCAGCAGGTACATTGTGATGGGTAACATCTACCACAGGAGACAGCAGTTACCAAGAGCTCTGCAAGAGCATCTAAGAGGGCGTCTGAGACCCGGAGATGGGCTGCTTTGGAGCGGGAGTAGCTACGTGAAAAGATTCAACAAAAGGCGGGATCAGAAAGTTCAAGCAGCAGCTCAGCGAACCTGCAGATGAGGATGCAGTGCAGCCACGGTCCAAGCAGCTTGGGGGCTGTTCTATCAGGAAAGAAATGGCCCCTTCTTTCATCACAATTTGATATACCTTCTCTATAAAATTAAGTCTTCTGGTCCTGCTTAAAGGCAAAAAGTAAAGGGGTACAGAGGCACGTGCTTTCCTTGGTTTGAACAGTTTACATTTGATGACCACAGAAATGCCGCAATAAACTAGTTTGTATTTCAAGGCCCACAGCTTTTCTGCTGGAATCTCTTACTCTTAATGTAAACAGTGATGGGCATCTACTCTTGCTATTATAGCTATATTTCTTTTAACCATATTACTTCTGGGGGATGAGCATTTAATCAAAAGCTGAATCTCTCATCTTTTTGGCACGTGTTCATAGGTTAAAAACCAACATATTACAAACAATACTTGCTGAATACCTAGGCAGATATTGACTAGAATGATGAAACGTTATGATATATACCTCCTAACAAGCACGCATTTGTTTTTTGTGCAGGAATACTAAGAGATCATGCTGTGCACCTACCCGATTATATTATTGAATAGATCAGTTCCACTTCTTAAAACTGAAATTGAGATATTCAATTTCTTTAATGGGCTTCAGAACAAGATTTTGTCATATTATATATTTAGTCTGAAAGCACCTGATTTGTCATTTTGTAAAATAATCAAACCTCCATAATGCACGAAAACAAATTCAAATGGTGTTCATAAGAGGTTCAAATTCTGCTAGATGCTGTAGTAAAACACTGATTTTACTTGCCAACTAAAAAGGCATGTGTCCATGTTTACCAAGCATACTATATTAATTTTCAGAGTTCATTGTCTATATGGATTTTGCTTCTTTAGAACTGCAAGCATTTGCAACTGGAGAAAACATTCCTTTTCCTTTCTGCTTAATCAGAGAACTCACTCCACCTTGGTGTTTCAACCTTATATGTTGGTCACACACTAAACTTCCATGCTCACCCTCCATTTTAAATATAATTATCCCCTGCTTTGCAGAAAAGTGTGAGTAGCACAGTTCTCTCTCCAGAGTATCTTTTGTAAACAAGTTCTTCATCTAGTGACTGCACTACAGACATGAACTGAATATGCAAATAGCTGACTGCTGGCCAGTTTCATTAGCAGATTGCTTAGAAAAACGAATCATTCAAAGATTTGAGGTTTTAATTAAATCTTTGACTAAAAGTGCTCTTTATATACGGGTAATGAATAAAGTGAAAACTAGGTATACATACTAAAGGTTCAGACTTTATACAATCAGCAGTAATTCACAGGATTTAGCCATTGTTAAAGGAAAGTGCCTATAGAGTTTTTAGGGCTACCTGCAATGTTGTGGGTAACATGGGAAGTGTAGGCAATGAAAAAAAATGAGTTTCAGCTCATGTTACAGAGATGAGAGCAAAGATTAGTAAGAATAAAATACCAAGGAAATAAGACTGCTTGATGAGAGATGGAAAAGGAATGGAGGAATTCACTAGCATTCTCTGACATTATGAAGTTCTTTAACCATCCAGTTACAAGTGCTGGCTTGAATCACCTAGGAAAAACTGTAACTGTTTACTAGCAAAACACAATTAAAGTTGTTTCTTTGCTACAGCTGTCACAATCTTCTAACAGGTTAATGCATTTGTTAAGGGAAGGGATGAAGTCAGTTAAGATACTGTGGGGAAAATGACACAATTACAGTAAGATGATACAGTTCAAAATTTTCTGAGATGACTTGAATGAAGGCATTTTTGTCAAAATGAAACTTCCTGGCAATAGCCCAGATGAGTGGGAGGAGGATGGGTGGGGGATATGCATAAATATAGAAAATTGTCTGGATAAATATGAGGAAGAGTAGTCTCCCACATTTATTCAGACTATTTTCTATATTTAACTGAAGACTGAATGCCTGTGATGCCGGATTACCAGCCACCACAAAGCTTCCATTACAAGCAGAAGGGACAAACTGTTAGAACATCACTATATATTTGCATTTCATTCTCCAAATACTAATTTTGATGGTGCCTCAACAACACAGTAGCTGTCCACGCATCTCAGAAAACAAATGACCCAGAAATGAGTTTTAAAGATCATGTCAATTGCACTGTAGAAATTTGCAAACCTGTTCCATTACTTGATCCAGGCATTCTACTTACAAAGTATGTTCTTATTTATAATTAAGTTTGCTTCTTCGCTTGTTTTGATTTTTTTTGTTATGTTCATCTACCATATAACTAAAATAGTGGCTGCAATAATGCATCTTAATATTTGCACAGCTGTCCTTTTACTCCTTACACTCATGGAAGGATTATTTTACAACTCATGCTTCAAGTACTGCACATGAGAATCAAATCTAAATTCTAAAGCTGTGCAGTCACCTTTACAAATGGAAGTATAAAACTGCTATAGATAGTAGAGCACCGTGTGAACTCTCCACAAGTGTTTACAAAAGTGTTTCTTTTTCTCCATTTTCAGTTCTGCATTGGTCAAATTTTGATAGTAATTTAAAAAATGCATTGCATTGAATTTTTGGTTAGAATAGCAGATTTCAGAAATTTATAAAACAAGCAAAAACAACAAAAATAACCTGCCTCTTCAGTCTTTCAAAATACTTGCCTCAAATGTTGTATAATGTGGCACAACAAAATATATTTCCTCTCTCTTTGCTGCCAAATTTTCTTGTATGACTCAGAAAAATAACCTCTCTCTATACACCACCTCTGTAATCTTTTGGAGATGAGTACACCACTCAGATAGTAAAGCTAACTTCATAGGTTTGACTTAACTGTCACTGACCCTGTATTATCACCTTATAAATATTTGAAACACTGTTTACATCTCACGTTTGAGTTCACTTTCTTTTTAGAGGGAAAATCCTGGTTACATTTGCAGTTATCCCCACCCTTCTATGCATGAATTGAAGTAAAGGGTAACACTGGCAAGACTGGTTCTGTTCATGACCACCGGGTCATTGAATTATTAAATAAAGGGTGACTTACCCTACTGCCCAGAGTATTCTAGACTAGATGCCCCCAGCAAATTAGTTGGCTTATTTTCACAAACCTACTATGAGAGTCTGAACCCCTAAAATTAAGGAGTAGTGAGTATACCTTCCAACAGTTGCAATACAGTGATGTTTTAATAAAACCACAAGATGCCATTAAAAATTCAGGGAAATTTTCTTCTTTTAATTGATCCTTTCTCTATAGAAATTCCCAATCACTCAGAATTTTGAATTAAAGTTAAAATGAAATAAAATTTTGAGTGGCTGTTTATGTGAAATCAAAAGTAAGTAGTGCACTGAAACTAGCACAGAGATAGGACAAAAAACTTTTGAACTCATAAAACTCATTTGCTACCAACAAGAATAGGTTTTTTAAAAAATGGTTGTGATTTTACAATACATTTCTAATCCGAGATTCCGATAGTCAAGTCCTACACATGGAATAGTTTCTTCCCATCTCATTCTTCTTGCTGCAGCCTCTCTATCTACAGAAAAGACAGCTGGGTTAGGAGCCCTTGGGAACAGTGTGGGCTGTGGTACAGGAGTCTGTAACCATCCACGGAAATTGCATATGTCTCTTACATATGTCTTACATGAGTGGAAATGCCTTCTCCTAGGGCAAGGGATGTGTGTATTGGATCTAACCCATGGATCAGGTTCACGGGGGTTTTACCTCAGAGGACCATTTATAAAATTTCAGTCTACGTTGCATTTCTTTCATGGTTGATATAAGCATGCTGTTCAAGAAGATACCATTCCAAGTTGAACATCCATTAATAAGCCCCAATCCATCATAAAAACAAAATGAGCATTTGGAAGCTTTTGAACTCTACCTAGGCATGGAACACCAAATTCTTCAATCTGACTGAGGAGCTGTGATTAAGAAGTAGCCTCAGTGGGTTCATGACACTTTGTATTCACATTAAAACATGGCTCAGTCAAGTGAACATTCTGAGAGTTTGTAATAATAAATGGAGGTGTTGGGAAGGGGGAAAAAGCAAATATTCTGCACATTGTTTGATTTAAAAAAATGAGGAAAGTATAATTTTCTTTATTCCTTTTACAGAAGTGGCATTTAAAATGTACACACATTACACTGGCTCATAAATAAAACTTTTCAAAAAACTAAAAATTACCATAGTTGATACAGCTAAGAACTGTCTTTATATATTACAAAGTAGTAGGAAAAATGATGAGTCTTGGTAAAAAGTGTATGAAAGTAGCATTTTCTTCATTTCAGAATTATTTATATGAAAAATTTCCAAGAACGTTTTGCACAGTATGGCAATGCCTAGTGCTACACAGATTATTCTAAACAACTACTGTTTCTTTAGTAACTCCACCAAATCTGATATCCAACAACATTACTTTATTTCTCTAAGATGAAATGTCCTATTATGTACAAAAGTTATTCTTCAGTTTGTCACAATTTGTTAAAAACAGTGATCTATTGCCTATAGGTAGGAAATGTCTTGCCTCAATATGGTTTTTCTCAATGTCAGCCATATGTACGAATATTACATAAATACTGAGAAGAGACAGTATTTGTAGGGTTAAAGTTGAAAAATTTTCTTTTTTTATAAACATAATGCATACAATATGTAGCATCCTTTTGTAAAAAGTCCTAAGACAACATATTCTAAAATGCAGTTCTCTTTCCCCCCTCTAGTTTCTAAGAAGCATAAATGGATGCTCTTTTCACAATGGACAATTAACTTCCTTTTGATTTCACATTGGTTAAATGACAGCAGCTATGTACACAAGCATAGGCTTTCTTAGGCAAAATTAATCCAAAATAATCTGTACACCTGAGCCGGTACTTATAAGAAAACTGTGGTTGACAGCAGTGTTTAAGAAAGTAACAGGAAAGGTTCTTGCATAGCAGGGTGAGGTTACACCCAAGGAAAGCTTATCCATAATCAAATAAATTCCAGATCACTGAAGGACAAAATCGTGAATTAGTGCAAAGTCTAGTTAAAATGGGTACAGAAACTAACTGCTGCTGGATTATGATGTACCCGTTACCGTCATCAGCAGTGCAAACAACTGGTCAGAGAGCAGTAAAAAAACACACACACCCTAATCAAGCCCATTTTCCCTTGTTGGCTTATTTTTGTACATCTTTCCCAGTACAGAAGACACCAAATGAAACACATTGCTTCTTTATTCTTCATTTAGCAATGGGCAATGAAAGTTCTTGCACAATTTCCTTTATCATCAATGCAAAAGTTGTGGCATCACTGTAGACTTTTTTAGTTCATTAAAAATAAGTAAAATCACACGTGGAGCTTTTCTGTACCTCCCCACTTTTCCTTCCTTCCTATCTCTGGATACTTATACTTCAGAACAAATCACAAAAATCTCACAAACATGTCAGCGAACATTCAAAAGACACCTACATGTGTGGAGAGACCAATGATCTCCATTTATTTTGTTTCAATATACATCCATATTTTGAATTTTTAATACAAAAAGAAAAAAATTAGAATCTGACAAATGTTTACAAACAAGATACCTTCAAATAGATTTTACTCATATCAGTCTGGTGCAGAGTAAATGACAACTTGTACTGTTATATTCAAGACAAAAATGTCTGTAGTCCATGACCACTTCAGCCCAACTTTTATGCAAGCTTAATTGTTTTCATCTACCATGAATGATAAACTCATTGTTGATTCCCAGTTTGTTTGTGCACATGTGTACATAGCAGCTCCTTTCATAGAAAGAAAAGACATCTAGAGGTCATCTTGTACTTTTACCTACAGGAATCATGGTAAGATACAGAATGGGTTACATATAACCAGGGCTAGGGGGGGTTTATAAGAAAAAAATAATCAGCTGACAAATGAGGGCAGCAATAAAAAAGCGTACTTTTGCAATAATAAATAAATACAGTCAAAAGTTCTCTGGGTGGACTTTAAACCAGCTTCTTCACTGAAGAACGGACGTGGCATTTCCATGGAGTTAGGACTTGACCCCATTCTACTGTATCTTCTTTTTCTAGCTTTTCTCTCTTTTGTCCTTCAATAAAATGTTCTCTTGTTACTGCTACAACAGCATAATTTGACCTCGACAAGAACACGATGTCGCTGATTTTCATTCTTTTGTCCTTTGGACAAAAATCAGCCAAGAATATAATCTGATGTGACTGATAAAAAATGCAGTTTACATCAAGATGCTGTCAGGACAACCTGACTAATAACCTCTGGCTTCCCATGTAAAAAAAATTCAGACAACCAGATTCTTGCTGTTTGTGTTAGGGTAACACGTGAAACTTTAGGAAGTTGTAGACTGCAGTTTGTTGTTATGAGACCTGCAGAATGCAGAAAAAGGGAACAATTAAGCACCCTTCACTTAAAGGACCTCTTCTGCTCTAAGCAGGTGCGAAGGGCCAAGTCACTCAGCCGAGAAGGCAGCCATACTGATATCCCATCTTTTGTAGACAAACACAGAAAGAACCTTTGATCTTTTGCACCTTTGACAGGCACCTTTGATTCTGTACAAAAACTTGATGTTGAACTGGAATATCCCCAAACCCAGAAATGTCACATAGCATCACTGAAAAAGAGGTATGTGGCTAACTTACACAGCTTTGGGAAGCTTATGAATAAAATGTGTACTTATTGGTAAGAATGCAAATTTAAAAGACCAATCTTGGTTAGAATTTTGCAAATTCTATTTTGTAGGTTAATGGCTTTTATGATAGAAAGGAAATAATTGGTTTTACATAGCTTCTATGAATATTATTGAACTCAAGTGGATACAGTATTCCTCTTGTTTTCCAACACAGCTGCTAGCAAAAATGATTGCCTCCACATAAGCCATACTTTACAGATCAACAGCAAATGTGGATTAAAAAACTGATTGACATTGTGCAATGGAAAAGCCAAACATTCAGTTCCGATTCCAGTTAGAAAGGTCACACTTAAATTATCACAATCTGCAAAAATGCACATGTGTGGTTTAAATAAAGCAGCAATGGGAGCTGGTGCCCAAATACAAATAAAACTGGGTAATAAAATAAAGGATGAAAAATAATGACTGACATTCTGAAGAAGTGTCACCTCAACTGCTGCTTTTCCTTGCACTGTCATTCTCTCTTTTGGAAAACTACCCTGAAGGTAATGGAAACCCCATCTTCAAAAAAGACTTACAGCTACCACTGTGAGCAGCAGCTGCTAGTGCAGCTATCTCCTCCCAGGCTTTATGCAACTCATTTTTGGATCCTGCGGGACCTTTCTGGGGATGAGCCAGAATAGTCAGACAGAAACATCACTAGGAGCCACTTGTGTGAAACTCCAAAGGGCAAAGGAGTGATGCTAGTTGCTCAGGAACTGATGTGGAATTTTTTCCATTAAGGTGAATCCAAGGACACCATTGAGAAAAACTGAACACACTGAACTTGCACTGATTACAATGGGATAGTCTTTAGCAAGCACTTAATGCTCAGCTGAAATCCATCGAACTTAAAACTAATCAACTTTAGCTCTTGCTCTGCCCCACTTATCATTTCAACTGCATGATTTCTATAATGTGCAAAACCCTCTTCCACGATAATACAAAGGGTTTGAACAAAAGCGTCTTCACAAGGATGCCTTTGAGAAGTTCAGGCAGTCAGAAATTAAATCTATTTCTTATTTAGTTCCTTTCACAATCCAACATACTTGCAAAGGATCTGAGAGAAAACAGACATGAAAACTAGGAACTTAAAACACACGCCATGCCATCCATCAGAAAGATATGTAATGAATAAAGATAGCTTACCTGCTTGCTTTGAATCCTTTTAGTTTCTGTACAAAGAAGGATTCAAGAACCTCTGCGCACTGATAAAAAGGAGAGTCACTTGGATTGTAGTAACGACAGTTATCAAAAATTTTGGTCATGTCAGCCACAAATTCCGTCACTTTTTTGTAGTAACGGCTTAGTATTCTTTCCTCCATGGTGGAAAGGTCTTCAAAATAAGGAAATATTAATCAAAAACAAGATGTCAGTAACCTATACAACTCTCTTCATATCCTAAAAACATGCAGGAAAAGAAACATCTGCTTGAGTAAAACTTTATTAACAATTGCTTTAGGTGTTATGTAATGTGGCAGGGTGAGAAGCCGAACAGAATAAAGCTGTGTTGTAAGCTGCCCTGAGCCTACTCACGGGATAGGGTGGGGTATAAATTAAATAAATAAAAATAATAAGAGAGTAGGACCATTTAGCAAGCATTTTCACTCATCAATTCATTTATTAAAATATTCATATCTTGCTTTTCCTCATGGCTGAAAGCAGTTTACAAATCACAGTGTAAAGCATACAGCATGAAATAAACCCCCAAACAGCCCTCCTCTCTCTCTTTGCAACTGATAAGTACAATTACGAACATTCTGTGTGTGTGTGTGTATTTCTTATTAGGATGCTATGATTCTTTTATGGAAAACTGTTGGAATTTGCAAATGATGCATTTCAGTTATGAATTGTTGCTTGTGTATGCTAATGTCACTTAGTTAGCTTTAGATTAGGTGTTAGGCACATTTTTCCTGCGAGAGAAGGGGATGTCTTATTCCTAATGAAGTCATCTTTAGAATTACTATTGGCTGATCAATATGTTGATTGGGGTGCATGCGGTTTGTCACATACACAGGGGGTGGTTATTTTGGGGAAAACTTTCTCTTCCTTTGTTCTCTCACACACATGAGATGTAGACTAGTTAGTTAGGATATTGTTCTTTTATTCCATGTAACCCTTCCCTTATTTTTCTAGTAAATTTTTAAAAAGCTAAATACACACGTGTGCTGCATTGCTTTTATTCCACTAAGCATATTAACTTTGCTAAAAGAATCCAACAAAAATTTAATGAGCTCACTTGCATTACAATTAGAGACTATTTGAAGTTGACATCCTTAAAATCCTGCCTTTGTTTCTCTTTCTTATACTACTCTAAGCAAAGAGTGCATACAAACATGCTCAATTTGTAGCTCATTTGGCATATACAGCTTGTTTGTTATTTCATTTCAGAACCTTGTTAAGATATGTCAATTAGTTGCCACTAATGTGCACATCCAGCCACACAGAGAACAAACTGTGACAAAGGATCCAGTTTTGTAACCAGCATAGTAAGCACAAAGAATTGAAAGCAAAAAGCAGCTGAAAGGAAATGTAGGTGTTATAAGAATGGGTAGGGGAGGCAGACAGAGAGAGAAATCATTCACAATCAATCATACAGAGTAGGAATAGATCAGTTTCACAAACCCATACAGTCTCCCTCAACATTCACTTTGCACTCCCATTCTACTTGGACTAACAATCCTTAGCAAACAAAGTCTTCCTTAGGGCTACTGCATAAATGTATTTCAATTTTAAATATAAATGCATGTATAAGTTCTCTATAAAATCTCAAAGTAGCCTTCAGAGTGAAAACCACTAAAATAAATGTGTCTACATGAAACAAGCAGCAACAGCTTCTAAAACTTCAGTACTAATAAAACCAGATATTGCTTTCTCAAACCAAGAGGTTTTTCCATCCAGCACAATGAACCTAAGGAAGACACCTAGCAAGCTTCTCCAGGGTTGCCACTAAAATTTTATTTTTTATTTCCCTGACTTTCCCTGACCACCATTTGTCAATTTCCCTGACCACCATTCAAATATAACCACAAGTTAAAAAATAAATAGGTCAATGCTCCCTCTAAGCTGTGGAGTCCTGTGAGCAAAAATTCTACTTTGTGAGCTACTGGGATGAAAGTTGTGAGCGAGCAATTTGGCTGCTGCATGATTTAGTTTGCTCGGGAGCCATCCTTCCTGAGCTGAGACAAGAATGTGTGAGCCGGAGGCTAAAAAACTGTGAGCTAGCTCACACTAACTCAGCTTAGAGGGGACACTGGTCGTATTGCATTAATGCAAGGTAAGGTTCCACTCTACAACTACACAAGTCTCAACTGCAAAAATATTTGTCAAAGAGATTTAATATCAGCTTCTTTCAACATTAACTGCAGCAACATCTGTTTTGCAATTGCACCAAAAATTACACCAAGATACAAATTTCAATTCAAGTAAACTCTGAATGCTAACAAATGACATAACATTTTTGTTATTGTTTTAAAGGTACACTAAAAATTATATAAACGTTCTATCTAAAATGGCTGGGAAAGGGCATCATTAAGTTCTACTTGTATTCTGCTACTTCTCTATTCCAGTTGCCACAAGAACAGATCATGCTCTTGCAGCAGCAGGTCAAAAATCCACTGCTTGAATATATTTTAATCACAATTTCCCTGACCAATTTTCATTTCCCTGACTTTCCAGAAAGTGGCAACCCTGTAAGGCTGCTTCATGATGTAGTCACTTATATAACTTTTGACCTCTATTGGCATAAAGGATGCTGGTAAATTATGATCAAGAATAAATACAAAAGTCTAACAGATGATAAGAACAGAGACATAAAACAGTTGATTAAGATAGTAATCGATAATACAGATCAAATAATTATTTAAATCAATAAAACATCAGAAACAAATAGAAAAAATAGGCATCCAACAATTAAAATATAGTGATGTGTTTGGACTTAATTCTATAAGCTTCTACTAAAAATTTGGCAACACATACAGTGATTTAGGGGTTGACCTTCAAAACAATAAATTAAAATATTTTCCTTAATGAAGACACTATGCTGGAGGTATTTAGACAAGAATTGTTTACGTTGTAAAACAAGGAGGGGACACTCTAAAATAATAAGGGATAATGAATCTAGAGTACCTAATTCACATGGGCAAAACCTATTTTGAGAAAGTATTTGCCTAAATCTACCAAAATGGACTACTGATAGAAAAACATTTACTGATAGAAAAACATTTAAACGGACCAAGGAGGAGGAAGAGAAAAAGAGGAGGAGGCGGAGGAGATTGGATTTATACCCCGCCCTTCACTTGGAGTCTCAGAGAGGTTCTCCCAAATTAGAGTCCACTGCTCTTAACCACTACACCAAACTGGCTCGGGTGCTGGAATGGCGAATCCAAACCAAAAGAATAGTGAGGCATCATTCCATTCCTTTGATATATACCTAAATTAGCTGCAGAACAGACAGGGGGTGCAAAGGGAACACTTTGGGGAATTCATGATCCATAAGCCTTAGTTGGATTGTTCTTAAAAAAAGAATTTTTTAAATTTTATTTATAGTCAAATTTATACCCCACCCTCCCCGCAAAGCAGGCTCAGGGCGGCTTCCAACAACAAACACAACAGTACAGAATAAAAATATAAATAATGCAGAATTAAAACACAGCATTTAAATTAGAACATTACAAAATAGAAAACACAAAAATCTACCGCAATACCAAGTTTTTGAAGTTTGTGAATGAATATAGAAAACCAAACAGTGCTATGCTGATCTTTCATTAAGTAGTATAATAAGCTTCCGGGTTAGATGTAAAATGAATTTTTAACTAGTACTTTAAAGCCATAATCCAAGCCTTAGTTTCCACAACGTAGTAACTATGGCAGATCTATACCCTCACAGGTCTATACATGTGCAACAGCTGTCACCAGGTCAACTGGTTGGCTGCTGTGCAAAACACTATACTGGAGTAGACAGACCAATGGTCTGATCCAGCAGGTTCTACTTATGCTCACTTGTGAAATGGGAAGCTGATGCTAACTTAAAATCTATTATATTTTGAGTAGAATACTTCCATTATAAAAATTCACAGATCTCTCTCACAAGAAATATACAAAAAAGTCAGCTAGCTATTCATTACATATGATTCTTCTAAGCTAAAGCACTCTTTGTGAGTTTATTATTAACTAGGAATAAGGACTAGGTGGGTGTCCCAGCCTCGGGCACTCAGCATCAATTTGCTGTGCGACCTCAGCAGGGCATAATGTCAGAGTCCACTGTTTTCTCCAGGGGAACTGATCTCTGCCATCTGAAGAGCAGTTGTGATTCTGAGTGATCTCCAGCTCTCACCTGGAGACTGGGAACAATGGTTCCCCAGGAGGAAATGTCTGGTTTGGAGGATGGAGTCTATGGCATTGTACAAGTCTGAGGTCCCCCCCTCCTCAAACCCCACCCTCTCCAGGCTCCACCCCTCAAATCTCCAGGAATTTCCCAACCTGGAGTTGGCAACCCTAGCTCCTTCCCAGCCAACCATCAACCTACCTTTATCTGCCCCTCTGACTTCAGCTTTCCCTCTCCCACACACCTGCAGCCTCTACCTAGGAAAAGTACAGTCCTCCTCTGCAGTGGAGACCCAAGCAGTAGGGAAGTGACCTCAGCAGGGTATAAAGACACAGAGTCCACCCTGCAAAGCAGCCATTTTCTCCAGGGGAACTGATCTCTGCCATCTGGAGAGCAGTTTTAATTCTGAGTGATCTTCAGCCCTTACCTGGAGATTGGCAGCAATGGTTCCCCAGGAGGAAATAACTGCTTTGGAGGGTGGACTCTATGGCATTCTATTCAGCTGAGGTCTCTCCCCTTCCCAAACTCTGGCTTCTGTAGACTCCACCACAAAATCTCCAGGAATTTCCCAACCTGGAGCTGGCAACCCTAGTCAGGACTGGCCCCAAAGAGTTTCCCACAAAAACCAAAGTAGGCCTGGAAAGAGCCTCCTGCCTTTGGCTCTTTACTGACAGAACCAAGCTTGGTTGCCTAGCAACAGCCACTGAGGAGAAAGTTAGCCCTACAGGAGAAGAAGAGAATGGTTTGACGGCCAGTGGCTCACCTCAGTAACCAGTAAGCTGCAAAGGAGAAACAGCTGTTTTGGCAGTTTATTCTGTCAGGGAAGAGTGGCCAGGCTGGCAGTGGGCGGGAGAGAGGAACAGACCCAGCACTCAGCCAATGGTGTCAACCAAAGTGTCTGTCTGGAGCTTGGTTGCCATGAAGAAGTGTGTGTGTGTGTGTGTGTGTGTGTGTGTGTGTGTGTGTGTGTGTGTGAGAACTGGAATATATAGTTTTGTTTCTGGCCACTATCTGTCTGGTGTCTGGTGTAGCCATGTAACCTTGAGACCTACACTGTCTTTAGTATCCCTTTCCCCCTAGGAATCTTAGAGTGTTACTTTGGCAGGCTTTTAGCTTAGAGGTGACCGGCCAAGAGTCACTAATGTCTATTTGATTATACTATAATTGCTGCCTTCGCACGCTTGACCTCAGTCCTAACAAAGAACGTTATGAGTCTGGATCCTATCAATGTTTACTTCGATTGGCATCAACAGAAATGGATACATCTAACAGAGGGTAACTTAAAGTATATAGGCTTCTCTCTTGACACAGACCCAAGATCTTTAATTAAGCAAAGGGTCCATGACATTGAATGCCAGCTAGACCTAATAAAACCCCCACATTTAATGATTTCTGAGAAACACAGATATACTATAAATATGGCCCAATATCTAAAAAATGTAGAATATCCCCCTCATAGGAGGGCTTTTACCCTTGCTAGATGCGATGTATTGCCATCTAAGGTAACAGAAGGGAGATATCAGAAGATCCCATATACTGAAAGGATATGTGCATGCTCCCTCGGTGAGGCAGAAACACTGGAACATATTTTTATTCGTTGTCCCTTTTATAGGAAAGTCAGGGATAAGCCTTTTTAGGCCTTTCAGAGTGGATACTAGGAGTTCTAGCCGCTCTATCAATGAATTTTGCTCTTCAGATGGTAATGTTGCAAATGAAGAGATCAATCTCGTTTCAACCTCCTCTTCTGTATATGTATATAATTTTATTAATATATATTATTGTTGGATTAGTTCAATTATAAACTGGATGTACATTTTAATAGTCTATTTATGGCAGATTTGTATTGTATCTTATTGTATTGTATCCTATTTTTTATCTGGTCTATGACTGTTCTAATAATCAAACAAACAAACAAACTTTACTTCTTCTGAATGACTGTTATTGGGAACTGATTTCTCCAGGGGCTCTGACAAATGGTACGTGAGTACTCTTGAGTGGCGGTTGATGGGTCAATGGCTGGAGTGCACAGCACAGCCAATGAGAGAGCCAGAAAGTGTCAATATGCTGGCACTATGTATGTATGTATGTATGTATGTATGTGTGTGTATATATATATATATATGAGACAACATATAGCATTCTACAATTAAGCATTCTACAAAAATAGTTCTAAAGAGACAGATCTCATTTGCAGGCTTGTAATCTAACTATCAGACAAATAATTAAGGGGACTGGAGGAGAAACCAGCAAACCCAGATGACCAAGAACACACTTACCCATAGGTTCTTTGATAACACCGTAATAATCTGGAGCATCATTGGGATCTACTGGTTCAAGAAATGGCCATGCCATCTTGTGAGCCTGTTTGGAAAAGATGGCAAAACACATTATTTCATTCACTGAATCAAACCCTTTCACTCTAAGCCTAAAATATGTGAGCTGCTGTTATATCAGGATGGGGCAGAAGTAGAAATGTAAAGGCCTGAAAAATAATGGAAACAGTATTATTTTCCCCCCAGGGCTTTTCTCAAGCCAATGGAAAACTTGGAAATTTAGTAGAATGCTGAATCTCTTATGGTGATTTTTTTCCCTTTTTGGAATTGGTGAAATGCTTTTTTAATACAAGGTTATACTTAATCAGAATGTGTGGTATGAAGATTTTCATTTAAGACAATCTACAGGGTCGCAGTGTTAGTCACAGCAAAATGAAAGTCCAGAGGCACTTTAAGAACTAACAACCTTTATTCCAGCAGAAACATCTGTAAACTGACTTCTGTTTGCTAACACCTCACCACTCCTACCCTTCTCTTGTTTGTAACTTCAAGTATAGATGACTGCTATGGATGTACACTTAATGAATCCTCTGGCTTGACTGGAATAAATGTTTAAGTTAGCCTTTCACGTACCACTGGATTGTCTTTCGTTTTCCTATGTAGACATATACAAGGTATTTCTGAGCACATATTTATTGTTTAAATATGACTAATGCTGTCCACAATTAATATGCATTATGATAATACACTGCTGAAGAATTGTTTTCAATGCTATAAAATTTACCTTAATAGCCAAATATGCTGCCAGCCCCAAGATGACTATATGGAACTCTTTTCATCCAAACATACCTACTTCTGTTTACTATAAAATGTGTTCACTATGTTTAACTTTTATTGCTTCCTACCTCTCATATGACAAAAATTAAGATACATGTGCCAAGGAAGCAGTATGCATCTTTATCTCCCTAATACTGGGTATATTTGCAAGTTTGCTTGCCAAAAAAAGGCAGTTATCCTTTTAAATTTAATAAATGTGCCAAATAGTACAACTTTATACAGTTTGTTATAAATGATGCCTTTAATGTTGTTAAAGCAGTAAAATAAATTTAACCATGATAAGGAAGTAGGTATTGCATGTATTTCCATGTTTTCAAAAGTTCTGGACAGCTTTGTGAAGAAGACTGTTCTGATTTCAGAAGGAGGTATTTGTCAGCCTCTTTCAGGCATGCCTTTCACCTTCAAAACCCAATCAGATTCTATTACAATCACAGTACAAAGCCTGTGCTTATTCTTACCTGTAATGAACGTAGGACTCTCTTCAGCCCCTCATAATCTTTATCTGTCAAGGGACTGAGTACAGTCATGGCATCCTCAGTTGACTGACACTGTGGACAGACATACTCATCAATGAGATCTGCCTCACTTTGCAAAATACCAACGCAGCGCCCGTGATACCAGTTCTGACATCGGTCACAGCCAATGTAAAATCTGTAAGATTCCAAAGAAAGCTGTTTAATATCCTTTCTTTTGCATGAAAGTCTTCCACTTGCTTTAAAGAATAACTGTATTACATTTAAACGTTACTTAAATTTAGCACATATTAACTAAGCTGTCCATTTATGAACAAAAAAATAAACAATATTGTGAAGTAAATTTGCCAGTATCACCATTCTCAATGATAATTAATTTCAAGCAAATTAATTCTCTTCAGCCATAAGCAATTCTGAAGCTAAAAGGAACAAAATAGAGTTTAAAAAGCAACCATTTTGCAATTAGAACTGTTATCACATGTTTCTTTTCCACTCTGTTTAATTGTTTTTCATATGTTTGTAGAAATTTAGAGCAAAGAACCCTGCAATATTTTATGAAAGAAAGTACACATAACAGACTTCTCAATACTACCCAGATATCTCTTATTATAACCACTTCTCTAGTCTAAATCAAACACAACATTGAATGCAATAAATTAGGAACTTCAGCCACTGATGGTATTTTGTCAGAACCTTGTTGCAACAGGTCAGTGAAGTAGCCTTCTTTAAATATCATGATGTCTTATTAACAATAAAGCCGCCTTTTCCATGTGTATTAAGCATACATGATTCAGAGCAACATTTCAGAGATTACTTTCTTTTCAAAAGTCACATCACTAGATACAACATGTGGAACAATAATTTTTTTTGTTCAAGAAACAAACTCAGAGCAGTTTGCTACCTAAATATTCAATAAGAGGTTCTTGTCAGAACTCACTGTGACTCATCATAAGGTGTTCTGCAGATACAGTACAATTCCTCACTGCTGCCCTCTTGTGCCCGTTTACAATCATTACAGATGTACACATCCATTTTCTTAGCCTCCTTTTCTGTGATGCCAACACATTCTCCATGATACCAGTTAGTACAAAGATCACAGCCAATATAGAACCTAAAAGTATTCACAATGAAAATGACAATGTAATTGTCATTTCAAATGGCATGGCACTTGCTAACCTTTTCTCTGAAACTGTCTGACTTAATTTCCCAACCTAGCTATGCTTCTAAAGCTAACATCTGATACTGATGTAGTGTGCATAGTTCTATGGTGCCTTTTTTGTCAATCAATATGCACTTAAGTCTGAAAAATGCAAATGTCTCCACTGTGAATGCACAAAAACAAGGCCAAAGAAAAAGGCCTACATTTTCAAAACTGTAGCTGACACTTGAACACAGTGGCAGTTCTTAAGATTTGAAAATGTAGCTTTCAGTTTTAAAAACAAGCAAAGCGCACATACAACTAGAAATTACAGGTACACTAAAAGGAGCATGCATACCAGCCATGTGTAAAATACATATTGGTATAACATGACATGAAGGAAAATGGGACAAGTGGATGTAAACTGTAAATTTCTGCCTGAAAAAAATGGAATGTGACACCTTAAACTGAAAAATGTAAACCACTGCTTTCAGAATATCTATTCTGACAACAAATATGTGACAGGCCACAAAGTTTAAAGAAAAACTTCAATTCCATCAACAACCTCGCAAAGCCATAAGCTTTCAAATCTATCAAAACTGTGAGTTAGATACTAGGAATTTTTGCTGGCACAAGACCAATTCGTGGGAGGGTTAGCAATTCTTGATTATTTCCTTCTTTCACTGTAGCTTCCACCACTACACCCAGTGGTATTCCTGGGAGCCCCTGAATACCAGGGGTAGCATTTTGAGGGCAAGGGAGGTACAACGGGAGGTGAGAAAGTTCTGTTTCACAAGTTCCAGTCCATCCGTGGATCATAGGATCCACCTTTATGACCAGCAGAATTATGGCGGAGAGATGAACCTGGCTGATGGAATACATCCTCAGGGTGACCTCCAGTTCACTACTCTACTTTTCCATAGCATTTTAATTGACTTTTTAAATTAATCCACCTGTAGAGTGGTTGATTCTAACCCCAAACACTGCTAAACCCAAACACTTTAAAGGGACTGCAGTAGAAGCCTGACAAACAGCTGAGAGGTGGGACCAATCTGCTCCCACCTCTCTCCTCCGTTTTTGGATCTACCAGTAATTCCTGATTTTTTCGGGGGGGGGGTTGGTTTTCACTTGAAAACCTGGATACTTCTGGGATGCCAAAATATACCCCCCCAAATACCTCTCTTCATCTTTAAGTACTTGAAACACTTCTATGGCAAGCTGTACATTGTCATTACCCCCAAACCACAATCTGCATCTTGATTCCTGCCCTCCAAGCCAGGATTAAACCATGGTTCGGATAGCAAAGCCTACTTTGTCAATATGCCTGAGCAAAGCCAGTAACTGCTAATGGCAATACAATTTGGCTTGATTGATTTGCCTGTCTTACTGTCCCTCAAAAATTTAAATACAAAGAACATCACTTTGATTCCTATAGGCTTGCCCTGCATGCCAGAGTCCTGGGCCACCTTCTCAGAGTTTTACACAGAGCACGGTTCTATCCGATAACATTTCTAGAATGCAGTATGATGTTATTAACATACTTTCATCTCATGAAACTAAAAACATTACACCAACATGATACAGTAACGTAGCTAAATATAATGTGCAGGATCCAGTGCAAAATTTCTACTTGTGCTGGAGCTCTTGTGCAAGAAAGAGGCAGCAGTAGCTATTTGCACTAAGTTAGTCTTATAGCTCTGACCTGGATGGCCCAGGCTACCTTGATCTCGTCAATTTCTACCACCAATCTTACTGTATGCTCACTTACGTTTCCGCTTGCGCAAGGTCTTGTGCAAACAATTTCTGGGTGCTATACTATATTAGGGATGTTGTGAATTTCACCAAACACGTTCAACAGTTGAATGCACCATATTCAAAAGTATCGATCGGACACAATGTACTCAGTTCATACTGAACAGCCACAAACACTGACCAAACTGGTTTGCTTTGGGTTTTCAGAAAACTGCACGTGCGCAAAGATGCAGCAGATTCAAATAAATCAGCGGCCATGAGCATCTTGGGGGGTGAAACTAGGGGTGGCTTCCTAATCCACCCCCCACCTTTTCTGTGTTTGGGGAAGGCTGAAAATGGCAAAGTTAGAGATCAGAGGGTTCAGATCTCAGTTGTATTCCAGCCTTCCCCAAACATGCTAAAGGGGGGGGGGATTAGAAACCCACTCTTAGTGAGCATAAAGCACTGGATCCATGCTTTTTATTTTATTGTGCAGTGCGTTGACATTTTTTCTGGTGCTGCCTATAGACCAAGACATGAGCTGCAATACAATGGTTGTTTTGTTTCAGTGTAAAAATTCTATGGATCCATGAGGATTCCTTTAAAAATTGTCTAGATCTGAATCTACCCCCCCCCCACAATGACTGGAGGGTGGATTAGAACCCCATCCCTAGCTGAGTTTCTAATCTAACCCCACATCCAAAACTGCTGGATTTGAGGAAATCTGAAGCATAGCAAAGTAAGAGATCTGAAGCACCTGTCTGTCAGGCATTCACAGTGTGAGAACATGCATGTTGAAAAAACCAACTGCACTGCATGGTTAAGAAGGAACACAGTGAAGCAACCTGTCAAACACCAACGAATTTATCAATGACTTATTGAACCAACTACCAAAAATTAGGTCCCTCTTTGCAACTAATGAATAGGACATGAGCCAATTGGCAGGTGTTTATGCATTCTATATTACATAGGGAGGAAACCACTAGGTGTTGCACAAGATCTTGTACAAGCGGAACTGCACTAAGTCCGATTATATATCCACTTGCACATCGCTGGATCCAAGCCACCAATTTATAATCTGAACATTATCTGACCTCCTTAGAAACTATTTGAGAGTAGAGAACTGAAGAATAAATACCCTTCTCTTATCTCTTATATCACTGTATTTAAAATATGCAGGGATCATTTCGTAGAAAAAGAGCTAGGGGAACTCATTAGCATAACTCATTAGCATATGCCACACCCCCTGACATCAGGGGCCCGACGGTGGACCTGCAAGGCTGGTGGGAGTGCAAGGAAGCCCCGCCAAGGCCCTCCCTGGCCCCAGGCAGGCAGGGGTGGAGAGAGGCGGGGGGAAAGAAACTTACCCTCCCTCTTCTCCTGCCTCCTCCTGGCTGAATGAGGGCTGGAAGCAGGGCAGCCGGAAGCAGGGGGCGGGGCTTTGTCATGTGCCCCGCCCCTGCACCTCACCCGGGGGAACTGCGTTCCCCCGCGTTCCCCCCTGAAATGACCTCTGAAAATATGTATATATAAAAAGTAATTAATCCATTCACTCATAGACAAATCTATTTAAAACAAATGGAAGGTGTACAAGGGAAGAGCCTACTAGATTATGCCCAATGTTACTGTCTTTCCTTCCAAGCGGTGAAATTAATTTCAAATCTATTACTTAAACTGCACAGTTTTCCTATACTGTGTTTTGTTTAGGGCTGCCAAATGCAGCCGGGGGGCGGGGAATCCCCCGTTTCGGAGCCCCGATTCCCGGCGCGCCGGAATCGGGGCCCGGGGGAAACCCCACCCCCGCGTGCGCGTCACCCGGAAGCGTGGCCCCGCCCCCAGCGTGCGATGTCACTTCCGGGTGACGTGCACGCTGCGCACGCACCCGGGATCGTCCGGGAGCCCCCCCGCTCCCGGACGATCCACATTTGGCAACCCTAGTTTTGTTATAAAGAAAAGTTAGACTGAATCACAATGTTAGGACCTATCTTCTGTACCTCAGTAAAAAGCTTGTTTGTTCACTCTGCTAGAACACAGCTATCAGCATTTAATGTTGACACTTACTAAAATCCATGAAAAAATCCTGCTGTAAAACAGGTTCTAAACAGTGTTCAATATAGTAACAACCAAAGAGGCTGCAGAACACAATTATATACAACAGAAATGTATGTGTATTGGTAAAGTCCTCTATAAAATATAGTTTAAGAATGGCAGACTAATATGGGTATCTCCCATCCATAAATATGCTATAGCCATCAGCAGTTTATAACTTTCCTATATAGAAATTAGTGCTGAACAAGCAATTTAAGAGGCATAAATGAACACTTCAGCTATGACCACAGTATCGAAGTGAAGTGTAAATTCTGAATTCTTACTAAAAGTAAATTTTGTGAATGAAGCACACCTTCACTAAAAGGAATGTTCAGATAACATTTAATACTTGGGTTCCCAAATCCCAAGTATTTGACTACAAGTCAAAAAATATTTCCAAGCTATCAAGCAATTCTTCAAAAAAAGACTAATGTTTTCCAACTACTTGTACAATAATTATTATTATTAGAATAAAATCTTTTTAGAGTTAACTGTAGTTTATTCTGTTAAGTACCTTGATGTACCTAAAATATTTGGCTTAAAAAAGACCAAATTAAAAAATTTAATAACACAAAGAAATTACTTGCAATAATGAACAAAATGTACAGTAACTTGGAATCTCCACTGCAGATTACAGAATAAATGCTTATTTGCTAAATGCAAAAATACAACAAACAAGTATCTTCCAGGGATGCACACAGCCTAACGGAAGAAAAGACTAGCCAATAGCTCCTTGTTTCTGAAGCAGAGGTAAAAAGACAAAGGAAATAATAGAAGCAAAATAAAAGATGTGCACTGTGAGAGAGGCCATACAATGGAAACATGCAAATGGATAAGATGTGAATCACAAAAGGTAATAGACTGGCATTGAAAAACAGAATCCTAAATATTTAAATCTTCAGTAACTTCTTAGTGTATAAGCTTCTGATACCTAGAACTTCCAACCCCACTTCTTTTAGCTGTCTCCACCACTAAACTAAAGTTAGGCAACTAAATTTACTACAGCTAAACTAAAGCATGATATGGACTTTCAACATGCACCACTCACTTAGATTCATCATAAGGCGTCTTGCAGATGCAGTAAAGTTTCGTGTCCTTCTTGGATTCCTTTGAGGTAGTAGAAATCATTTTCTTTTTCTTAGATTTTGAAGATGAAGACTCCTTCTCCTCCTCTCGTTTTCTCTTGTGAGATGAAATGGAAGTTGTGACTGTGGCTGTTGATGAAACACTGGCAGTGTGTGGTGGTGGCGGTGGAGGAGGTGGAGGAGGTGGCGGTGGAGGAGGAGGGGGAGGAGGAGGAGGTGTGGCAGCAGCTGCAGCCACTGCCTGGGCCCTTTCTTTTTCTTTCTTAATTTTTGCCAGGTCTTTCTTTAGCTCTTCCTAAGAAAAACAAAGCAGAAAATTGAGCCATGAGGTCCATCTTTATTACACCATTACATCTGTATGAAACCCAGTTATGTAAAATGTATGGAAGCAGCCAACTGGATTGTAATAGGGTGGTTTAAAATCAAATGTTGTGAACTTCCTACTGTGTGTAATTCTTGTAACACAAGGGAATTTCTAAAGTAAGTGAAAGCTGATCAGCTTATTTCAAATGAAAAGAACAAGGTAAACATGAAATCCAAGACACGACGCAATGTGATCACACACAAACCACCAACAAATTAATATAGAATTAATTTAATGTAGAATCTACACCACTCAAAACAGATTTGCCAAATCCATTAATATGCTCAGACTACAGATAGCCCTGTGTTGTCATATTTAATATGTTAAATTTTTTATAATACCGACCCTTTGTTTCTGAGACCTGAAGACTTTATAAGACCCATTCTCAAAATACCAATTTTAACCCAATGCCAACCCTATTACTGAAGCTCAATCTATTCAATTTTTATCCCTTTGTTCCTCCAAGGAGCTCAGGGCAGCAACCCTGTGAGTTAAGTTAGGCTGAGAGACTGAACAAAAGTTCCCTGGTGATACAATCAGGACCCAAGTCTCTCCAGTCCTAATCCAACACTCTATACCTTGAATATAACTTTGTGGTCTGAAAGGGGCCACTGGACTCAAACTTTGTACTGTGGCTTCATGCCAACACAGCTACCCACCTGAATCTACAAAAATGATAGTTCAATCACACCATTCTAATTGTATAGGAGGCTGCAAAACAAGTGCACAGAATTTTAAAATTTCACTCTCAGAGCAAAGGAAAAAAGGCATCTGGCTTGGTAAATAACAGTTTTTTTCAAGAAACAAAAACCTGCTGAGTATTTTAATTATCCCATACCAAAACACTGTAAGATCGCTAAGGAACAAACGGTCACCATTTCACAAACATTTGAATCATTTACCATCACCTAATCACTATCATGCTTTGTGATAAGGATGAAATTCCGACTGTATTAAACCCACCTGGTACAACCAAATTAAGATTACAATTATATGAAAATTAATTTAAAGGAAACCAGTGTTTTTGGTCCACCAACCCAAAGTAATAGATGAAAAGGGAGACACAGAGAAGTGGTGAAAACTCTTTGTCTTGTAGACTTAAAGCAACAAGCTATAAAAACAATGAGCCAAGTCTCTAAAATATAACTCAGTAAAGATGAGAATTTTACCTGCACTTCGATTTGTAGGTCTTTATCTAAAAGTGCTCGCTTCTTCAATATTTCAGCTTTAAGTTGTTCCTTATGTTTAAAGAGCAGAGCTGAGAGTTTGGTAGCATTCTGTTTACTACGCTTTTGTTCCACACTCTCTTCCCGTTTTCGTTTCTTAGCTGCCTGTTTTTCTTCTTTATCTATCTTATCTAGAATATATTTCATTACCTGGTTGCACACTATCATTCTGGAGAAGAAATACAAAGGATATTATTGTGAAGCAATCAAGAAGTAGAAAGACAATGTTAACCACATTTTATAATTAAAGGCAGACAAACATGGCTTCAATATTGGGGCTAAAGCACTGAGCGGAAGGAGTACTTGCTTGGCTTCAGCAAGGTTGCTGCATCACATGAAAGACCATGCTCTTTTCTTTCTACCGTCCCCATCTCCCAGAATACTTAAAAATACTACGGCATGGAAGAGAGGATGAAAGCCATACGTGAATGTGCAGCGAAATACGGTGCAACAGAAGGAAGAAGGTGTTTGAGAAGTGGCTGAACATTGATTTCATTTATTTACTGAAGAAACTCTTATGGAAAACGAGAGGTACGGCTTGGAAAAGAGTTAACAGGGTTGCACTTACCTGTAAATATTCAAGTGGTCTTCTGTACAGGCATGCATTGGGACTGTGTGTGTGTGCAGGCCAATCGTGGAAAAGATTTCCAACACTTTCTACTGGACTAGGCATTCCCCTCCTCCCTCTGGTGCTTTCCCACCAAAAAGATCACACGACTAGGAGGAGGGACACTACTCCCTCAGTTCGCCCCATGCTGCCACTTGAGACCCCAAGAAACTAAGGTTCCAGAGAGTTCACAGAGGGGCAGGAAAGGGGGAAGTGTGGCTGCACAGAAGACCAGTCGATGAACAACAGTTACAGGTAAGGATAACCTTATTTTCATCTTCGTGGCTTCTTTGCAGTCCCACATTGGGAGATTAGCAAGTTCACTGAGTGAAGGAGGTGGTGGCTCTGAATCTCTCAAAGGGACCATGGAGGACTGCCTTCCCAACAGTTGTTTAGTGTCCTATATTGACATACTGACACCCAGAACTGTCTTATAAAGGAGCAGGGAGCACTCGACAAGTGTCCCAACAGAAATACACGCAGGAACATGGCAAAGAAAAACAGCACTCCATTGGAGAGAGCTCTGATATGTAAAGTGGCACTGAGCAGCCATGCACTCAAGACAGAGTTTGATAGCTTCTATCAAGCCATGAGAATGGGTTATGCGAGGACACTGATGAGCCATTTTTGGAGCCTGAGTGATCAATACAAGGTAGTGTTGGATCCTTAGCCCGCTAAAACCCAAGAAAAGTGCCCTAACCTGGATAGCCCAGGCAAACTCGATCTTGTCAGCTCTCAGAAGCTAAGCAGGGCCAACCCTGGCAAGTACTTGGATGGAAGACCTCCAAGGAATACCAGGGCCAGGATGCAGGGGAAGGCAATAGCAAGCTACTTCTCTGAAATGTCCAAGCACCACTAGGGGTTGCCAGAAGTCAGCCATGACTTCTGGGCTCGCGAGGGGATGAACACACACACACACACACACACACAACTACTCACAAAAAATAGGATTAAAACTCAAGAAAAACCACACTCAGGGAATGTAAAAAGTACATAGATGTTTGGTGTCAGAAACAAGTGTAAAGATAGTGTTGTGTGACGTGAGGACTACAATACAATCCCCAGTAGGGGATCCCAGCCAGGGCATCAGACACCCTAACCTTGTGAAGCTTCATGAATGGAGGAGGCAGAGGTTAGAACCCTCTACAGTTGGAAGTGCTGCATACTAAAAAAAACCCTATTCTATACCAAGCACCAGGTAAGTGCAAAAAAATAATAATCAAATAAGAGGGTTAGACCTCTGTTAGTAATACCTTTAGAAATCCAATAAGGAAAACGAAAGTTTAGAGAGTTTGAGTCCCAACCACTGGTAAAAACATAATCACCAGCACAATAAGCAGGGTCCACACTGGAGGGCCTGGCGTGATATGGTCCATGGGGTCACGAAGAGTTGGACTCGACTGTGTGACTGAAAAACATCATCAACAACAACAACACTGGAGGGCCAGCATGGTGTAATGGTTAAGAGTGATGGATTCTGATCTGAAGAACCAGGTTTGATTCCTCACTCCTCCACATGAAGCCTGCTGGGTAACCTTGGTTCAGTCACAGCTCTTTCAGAACTCTCTCAACCCTACCCACCCAGGGGTCGTTTTGTAGAAAAAGAGCTAGGGGAACTCATTAGCATAACTCATTAGCATATGCCACACCCCCTGACATCACCGGAAGTGTGTCATAAGGCCACACCCCCCACCCCCAACGGTCCCGGCCGCACCCGCCGGCCTTGCAGCTCCACTGCAAGCAGGGGGAGGGGCTTCATCATGTGCCCCGCCCCCCGTACCTCACCCGGGGGAACTGTGATCCCCCGCGATCCCCCCCGAAATGACCTCTGCCCACCTCACAGAGTATCTGTTGTGCGGAGAGGGAGGGAAGGAGATTATAAGATGCTTTGAGACTCCTTAAGGTACAGAAAAGCAGGATATAAAAACCAACTTTTCTTCTTCTTCAAGCCTTCTTACAGACTCAGTAGAGACTCCTTTCCACTTAGAGGTGCAAGATATGGTAGTGAATGAGGGGTGCTGTCAGCAAGCTGCCATTTGATATTTTGGGTTCTGATCATGTTTTCTGTATGCTGTCAATTATAATGCACTTGATGTCTCCCCCCCCCCCTCACTGGTCAGTGCTTCTGCATTCATGCGCATGCCTAAACACTGCCTGCTTGTTAGAAGTTATTATGCTCTGTTATCTATCTCAAGGTCACAGGTGTTGGACTGGAATCCTCTGTGCTTCAGTTTAATGAGATGAAACTGTGAGAACTGCTTTGTAGTAAAAACAACCTGGCCGTTTGTATCCCAGGAAAATAGCCGCGCAAAAGAGGCTTTTGGCTCGAGCGGGAATTATAACCATTGGCTGTAACCATTTTGAATTTGCTTTATGCTTCCCCTCCCTGGGGTTTCTGGTTATTCTGAACAGAGAAGCTGTTCAGTGATTTATGTCTATCAATAAAAGTTACCCTTTCTATAAGAGTGACTACGTTGAATTCGTGAACCCTGACAGGTGCTTGCCACTCAGAAAAATCTGAGGCTACTGCTAAAATGCAGGAAAGGAGCTAATCAAATCTACCAAAGTCATCAGTGGGAATGAGAATAAGCAGATCAGCACCATAACAACGAACACAGTGAAAAAGATGTGATGTGGCCAAGGAAAGTATGGACAGCATGCACCATAAATGAACCTTGTGCAGCTTACAGAGCAATCTGCACAGCAAAACAGCTGGAGAAAAAACATAAATACAGACTACCTTGCTGAGGGATTAGAAGGGCATTCCCCAATGACAGGAGTCACTGTCAGGAAAAGAGTAAAAAAGGACAGGGCCCAGAATGTCCCACTGTGGGGTAAGGCCAAATACAAATAGCCCAGGCCTCCAATCAAGAGTATCTGGGATTTGGTCCCCATTAGTCAAGGAAAACAAAATTACAGTGCATTCCATGATTACCGTGGCGTGTTTGCACTAAAGTGCAAACTTTAGGCTGTGATATGGTGTCAAGCTCCCTTCAAAGGGGATAGTAAAAGGGGCCATAATAACCTGTTGATTCACAACTTAAAGTGGGGCAGAGAAATTCCTCTTCCCGTCTAGGATAACAGTTTACTGCATTCACACTCCGCAGTGGCTGAATTAGAGATGTGATATGGGCTATCAGCAACAATAGAGAGTTTGCATGTCAAAGACTGTCCCATGGGGCAGCTTTTTTGAGTAGAAACATGATGTCTATTTAAAAGATAGGCATGGAGCTTACCTGTACCCCATCTTACTCCCCAGTAGGGACTCAAAGTGGCTTATAACATTTTATACTTTTCCATTCCATCCTCACCAGAACCCTGAGAGACAGGACAGGTTGAGAGAATGCGATGGGCCTAAGGTCGTAAGAAAGTTTTCAGACAGAACGGCATCTGAGCCTGGGTCCCAGACCAATGCTCTAATCACTATAACCACACTGGCCTTTGCTACAAATGGTGTCACATCAGACTGACTCCAGAGACAGCCTGAATCCAGCTAAAATAAGAGCTCTCTCCCAGAAGCAGCAGTGAGACTGAGAACCCTGGGGAGAGGCAGTGCCATTCCCTGGTAGGAAGAAGGGAGTGTGGGCATACAGGAAACCAACAGGGGAAAATTAACTACAAAAAGACTGGGTTTAGAGGTGCAGGTTTATCACTGATATTGGAAACAGTAGCAGCGAAGGAGTCCCAGACTATCACTGAAAGTTGCGAAGGCTACCATGGAACTGAGAAGTGAACTGCTCAGGCTTGCCTCCAAAAAGCATACTTAGTGATCACTTCTGAGTTCCCCATAGAGATGGAAATAGCAAGCCTTGCAACGAAAGCCCCTTAGAATTAAGTTTCAATGCTGAGAGACTTCAGCAAGGTGGTAGATCGAGGCTGCTGTGTCACTATGCCAGCCTTCAGCATTAGCAAGAGGGATTTGGGCCAAGATAAAAAAAGAATCAGTTCTGACCCTGAAACCGAGGCAGTCCCAACCGATGCTCCCTCTAAGCTGTGGAGTCTTGTGAGCAAAAATTCTACTTTGTGAGCTACTGGCATTAAAGGTGTGAGCGAGTGACTTGGCTACTGCATACATTAGTATGCTCTGGAGCCATTCTTCCTGTGCTAAGGCAAAAAAGTGTGAGCCGGAGGCTAAAAAACTGTGAGCTACCTCACACTAACTCAGCTTAGAGGGAACACTGACCAACAGAGTGAATGGTAAAATGAAGCTCAGCAGGCCTTACGCATACCTAGTCTCTTGTCTCAGAACACAACTAACAAGAACAGGAAACTCTACCCATTTCAGCTAATCTCCCAAAACTACAGGGACTGAAGAGGTCCAAGCAACCCCAACTAAAAGGCACAATACCCTTCTGGATATGTAACACCTTTCACAGAGAGTCACTGAAAATTGCAAGGCTGTTAACCCACATTTCACACATGAATACATGAAGCTGCCTTCTACTGAATCAGACCCTTGGTCCATCAAGTTCCGTTATGTCTACTCAGACTGGCAGCAGCTCTCCAGGGTCTTAGGGAGAGGTCTTTTACATCACCCATTGTCTGGTCCTTTGAACTGGGGTTGCCAGGGATTGGACCTGGGACCTTCTGGCATGCCAAGCAGATGTTCTATCATCTGAGCCATGGCCCCCACCAAGGATTTCACCTTGAAACTGAGGGCACACAGGAAAGGATTCCTTCAGTCACAGGTAGCTAAGCCTTTAAAAGAGACTTCCATCAGGCCACATTTCCAGGCTTCTGGTCGGATTTGAGAGAAGCCAGGGAGGAGGAGGGATTCCTTCCATCAGGCAGGCCACAGCCAAAGCCTTAGAAAAGAGCCATTCTGAATGGGAGGCTCTGTCAGGCAACACCTCCAGGTTTCTCCCTTCAGAGCTGACAAAGCCAAGGAGGGAGAAGGTGCCTTTATTCAGGCTGGTGAGCAGCCAAAGCCTTTGAAAAAGAGCTATTTTGAGTCCAGCTCTATCAAATCATGCCTTTGGGGTAAATTAGTGAAAGAAAGAGCAGGCAGCTCTGCTGTGTGAACCCCTAGGCAGAAAAGGCACAGAGAATGGGTGTTTATCAGCACCATTTAAAGCCACAGTCGGCACAATCCCGAGGATGCCCCTTTTGAGCCATAATGACACAGTGGAAATCCAGAAACATTTCTTCTTTAAATGTAGTTAATTCTTCCATTAGAATGACCATTGAGGACAAAAAAAAACCCTTGAGAGAAAGAAGTGTCAGCCTCAAGAGTGAGGTGAGGAAAAAACACAGAGCAGCACTGGAGAGCCTCTATGCAGCAGCAAAATAAGAAGTGAGGGAGTAGTGCTCCTCCTCCTGGTCATGTGATCGTTTGGGCGGCAAAGCGCCAGAGGAAGAAGGGGCACTCCTAGTCTACTAGAAGTTTTGGAAATCTCTTCTGTGGCTGGCCTGCAAACACACAGCCTAAATGTGGGCCTGCAAAGAAGTCACGACGATGAACAAAAAGCTCCCGCTTTTTACTATGACATTAAAATCAGCAAAATAGTTAGCAGGGAGTAATACGACCAGGAAAATATAGTTTCTTCCCCTTATCGTTTGCCATTCCTCCCACACTCCATCTACCCATCAGAGTACTGCTTTCCTAACAAATGCAGCCAGTTGCTGCCCATTAGCATTAGAGATGCTGAACCATGTCAGCCACCACAGCAGCTGTTTATTTGCAAACAGAACATCTGACACACAAACAGGCCAGTTGTGTGGGCTCTTATTTCCTTGGATAGTGGCAGTAACATCTAGATCAACAAAATGCTATCGGAAGAAAAAATGCCGACAAAGGCAGCGAGTACATTTGACATCTAATCGATAAAAATCTGCCTTACCTCTGATTTTCTTCTCGTTCAGCAGGGGTCAATGTTTTTTTCTGTTTCAAATGCTCTATCACAGCATTATGTTTCATTACCACCTTTAAGACAGAAAAACAAATGCCACGTATAAAAATTTTAGAGCGCAAGAAGCAACACTAAAGAGCCCCTCTGCAATCTGCAAATAATCCAGAACAAGAATGCTGCAGAGATTGAAACACATGACTGGGGAAATGAAAGTGGCCTCCACTTATTAAGCAGCAGTCTATGTTCTTTTGACACCTGGAAGCAGGCACCTTCCTCGGGCATGAACCTGAAAAGTTCTGAGACAAGAGGAGGGCGAGACGGAGAACTGGCTGCAGAGAGAATGAACCTCACCCTAAGTCCAGCTGAGGGCAGCTAAGGAAAGATTTCAGAAGACCGGAAAGGAAGGCTCCTAGCCTGGCCTCAGCAGCAGAAAAGTGAGATGGCCTCTAAGCCTAACCACAGAAGAGGGGTCTGTCCTGCTCCACCAACCCTCTAGGAACAACCAACCTGAAGAAGAACTCTGAGATGGAAGGGATGGTTTAAAACACTCCTTGGAGACACTCTTTTGCTTGATCTATTCTGTTTGAACCCCTTCTCCATTATGTTCCACAATTTCCCATCTCTAGCTTCAAACAAAACGATTAAGGTGCAGTTACAGTTGCTGCCATGTGTCACCTGTGTACATCTGCCTCAAAATATTTTAGATACACAAGTGAAATTTACTAAGCATGGACAATACCACAACTACAGCCCTCTTCTGAAGTGCCTCTTCTCTAATAAGTCTGCTTTGTAACAATGCTGCAGAAGACTGAGCACTCAGATCTAAGTCTCTTGCCTTCCCATCTGAAGATGAAATAAAGAGCAATGCAGTTAATCATGATCCAAATGCTACAGAACATTGTTATAGAATTATTCAAAGCATTTGCTATATTTAAAGCACAGTGCACACCAGAAGAACAGTACTGACTAAATGGGTGGAGGGCTTGCAGCTGCGAGGCTTCGTCTTCTTTGATCTGGGGACAAGAGGCTGTTTACACCCTCCCACTTCCTTCTCCTTCACCCAAGTATTTCTGCATTTAAAGCATAGTGCGCCCCAGAGGTGTGAGCCTCTTGGCGTGAGCTGAAGGGTGAGACCACAAGGGCTTAGGCCTGTGGCACAGGGCCCAGGCACTATATGCAACAAGTAGTGGGGAGGTGAGACAGAGAAAGAGAACTATACCAGCTACTTATCTGGAAACCAGGAGTTGTACCAACATAAAGCTATACCTGCGGGACATCTCTAACCTTAGCACACCATGGCTTTTTGCTGACACTACAATATTGTCAGGTACGGGGGAGATTTTATTAGTAGGAATTGGGAGAAATCTTTATCTGGAAAAGGATGTTTGAGGAATGCACTATCTCAGTACAAATGGGAGCAGGTTAAGTATGGGGGTGGGATTTATCATAGATGGCAAGGATGCTCGCTGCCTGTCTAACCTCTGTAGCACCTTGAGAGTTGATGAAACAAGGGCCCCTATTTTACACCTGGATGAGGGAGATGTATGGCTATTATCCTCCATGAGTCCTTCAACTTCCACAGACTTCCAGTGCAAACTATCACTGGCACTGACTGTATGCTCGTTATACCAGGGACTGAAGACAGATTAGGCAGATCCTTCTTGTCTACCAGCCACCAAGTTCCCCAGTGGGCACCCTTAATGAGCTGGCAGAGGTATTGCCAGATGTGATACTGCAGACTCCTAGACTCATCGTTCTGAGGGTCTTCAATTGACCCTTGCTCATTCCGTTAAATGCTTTGAGTCATACTCGATCCAGCATTATTACTAGAGAAGCCAGTTAATGCAGTGGCAAAAAAGGCTGTCTTCCAACTCAGCCTAGCCCCTAAAATGGCCCCGTACCTTGATATATCTGACCTGGCCACCTGGATCCATGCCACAGTAACATCGAGGCTAGACTACTTTGATGCACTGTACATTGGTCTCCCCTCAAACTTGGAAGCTCCAGCTGGCCCAGGATGTGGTAGCTTGACTATTAGCAGGAGCTAGACGGAGCATGCACATTATTCCCATTCCACAGACCCTCCACTGGTTCCCCAGATTTGTCACTGAGCTCAGTTTAAGGTAAAAGCCCTTCATGGTCTTGGCCCCTCTTGTTTATGGGACTGCCTCTCTCCCTGTGCTCTGCCACGACAACTCTGGTCATGTCAGCAGGGGCTTCTGCAGGTGCCAGCCTGCAAACAGGCAAAAGTCAACGCCTGCCCACACGTGTGCCTTCTCCACTGTGGCTCCTGCCTTGTGGAATGGCCTGCCCGAGGAGGTCAGGAAAGCTCCTGTTTCTCCTGGCCTTTCACAAACGATGCAAGACCAAACTATTCAAGAGGGCTTTTCTGTGCACATAAGAAGGCTGCACAGCACAGCAGTTTTACAAACTTACCTGGATAAATGATTGGAACTTGCTGCTGTCTATAGCGTATTGTAAGTAGTATCCTATTGCATGATTTCTGTACCACTTAATGTGTCATGTTAATACTTATGCTATACTTCTGTTTGTTTCTGGTGGTTCCAGACTTTTAATGTTCTAATGCATTAGTTAGCGAATGTCCCATCTTGTTAACTGTACTGAGCGCAATCCGCCTCTGAGATCTGAGAAAGGCAGACTATAAATGACAGAAATAAATATTTACAAAACTGGATATGCACTGTGATTTAATAAAGAAATATCCCTGAGGGTTAACCTAATTCATAGGCCATTCCCCCCTCCCCCAGCATGCAAAATGAAGGATGACAAGTGAAGGCTTAAGTTTCCTTCTGACAACTTTACCTGTTTCTGGATAATGTCACTTTGATTCGAAGCCTGAAGGGAGTGTTCCCGTTTAATTTCTATATGCTGCTGTTTTTTCTTCTGCTGCTGCTCCCTGAGATGCTGAACCCTTTGCAGTTGTTCCTGAACGCTGGCAGCTTGAACAGTCACCACATTCTGAATCTGATGAGCTTGCATGGGACCTGCTTGCTGAATCTGAATAGGCAACTGAAGCTTGATCTGCTGAGGCATTCCACCTTGCTGGGCCTGTATCTGCGCCACGACATGGGACTGAAGCTGGGAGAATACTTGGACTTGCTGCTGAAGCTGGGGTACGGTAATCACCTTTGTCTGGGGTGGCTGAATTTGCAGTGGAGGGCATGGAGCTTGCACAGTGACTTGATTTACGTTTGGGGCAACTGGAAAAGTCTGAACAGAAGTTGAAATTTGGGGCTGTGGAGTATGAATCTGTATAGCAGTGTGTGGTGGCATCTGGACCTGCTGCTGGGTGGTGGTCTGCACCGGAGCAGGCTGTATAGCTTGGACTTTGGGTGGAGTTGGTGGGTGCACAAGTGTCTGTGACTGGTTCTGAGCTTGAGCTAAAGGCTGCCCTTGTGCATGGCTCTGGGATGGATCCTGAACAACAGCTGGAGTTACAGCAGGCTGCTCTGTCAGTGGCTGTGCTTCAGAGACAACTGGACATGGAAGCAAAGCTGGAGTCTGAGCTTCAGGTGGAGCCTGGGCTTCAGCTTGAGGCGGAGATTGGGTAGGCTGTGGCTGTGCTGTGGGCTGAGACGGAGCTTGGCTGCTCTGGGGCTGCCCTTGTGGCTGGGCTGGGAGCTGACTCGGAGGCTGGGGCTCAGCAGGTGGAAGCCCTGGCACTGGCTGTGTTTGTGTCTGAGCTGGGGAAGTCTGCTTCTGTCCTCCTGCAGCTGGGAAACGAAAAGCACACCTTCAGTTCAAAGCCAGAGGGAAACGTCAAGATGCAGCTTTTCTTCTCTGGTTTTTATTTATTTATTTATTTATTGCATTTTTACCCCGCCCTCCCCGCGAACGGGCTCAGGGCGGCACAAGCCCATACATAAAAACAGTACAAAACAGTAAAAACTATTAAGTCACAACAAAAACAAATAAAGTGCTCCATACAACAAGATGGTCTCTGAAGATGGTATCGATCATTTCATTAGGGTGAAATTGTCCTGTCGATGGTCCAAGCCAGTCCAGCAGCATCAGTGCCATGCAGGATTATGGCAGTTCTTCCGGGGACCACTCCCAACCCCGTTGCTTCAGTTATGGTAGTAATAGAGGTGGCAGAGGTGGCGCCCCCTATATAAAAGCCTGGCGGAAGAGCTCCATCTTGCAGGCCCTGCGGAACTGCATAAGGTCCCGCAGGGCCCTGATCTCCTCCAGGAGCTCGTTCCACTAGGTGGGGTGCCGCCACTGAGAAGGATCTGGCCCTGATTGAAGCAAGCGTTGCCTCCCAGGGGCCTGGAATCACCAGGCGGTGTTGTGTCCCCAACCGAAGTGCTCTTGGGGGTATATGTGGGGAAAGGCGGTCCCTCAGGTAAGCCAGACCCCGGCCATATAGGGCTTTAAAGGTAATAACCAGCACTCTGAAGCAGATTTGGTACACTATTGGCAGCCAGTGCAGCGCTTTCAGCCCAGGCTGGATGTGCTCCCACTTGGGGAGACCCATCAACAGCCTGGCTGCCGCATTCTGCACTAGCTGCAGCTTCCGGATCTGCGACAAAGGCAGCCCCATGTAGAGAGCGTTACAGTAGTCCAGCCTTGAGGTGACTGTCGCATGAATCACTGTAGCCAGGTCACCGCAGTCGAGGAAGGGAACCAACTGCAGAGCCTGCCTAAGATAGTAAAATGCAGATCTGGCAGTGGCTGCCACCTGGGCCTCCATAGTTAAGGAGGGATCCAGGAGCACTCCCAAACTCCCGACCTCTGACGCTGGCACCAACGGCGCCCCATCGAAGGTCGGGAGAGGCATCCCCAACCCCAAACCGCATCGACTCAGGCACAGGACCTCCGTCTTCGCTGGGTTTAGTTTCAGCCGGGTCAGCCTGAGCCACCCGGCCATGGCCTGTAATGCTCGGTTCAGATCTTCTGGGTCGGAGCCCGACCGGCCGCCCAACATCAGATAGAGCTGGGTGTCATCTGCATATTGATGACAACCCAGCCCATAACTCCTGGCAATCTGGGCGAGGGGGCGCATGTAGATGTTGAACAACATCGGGGAAAGCACTGCCCCCTGAGGCACACCACACTCAAGTGGGTGCCTCCGGGACTGCTGTTCCCCTATCGCCACCCTCTGTCCCCGACCTTGGAGAAAGGAGGCAAGCCATTGAAGAGCAAGCCCCTGTATCCCCATGTCAGCGTGGTTTAAGAAAACAGTGCAACACTTACACAGTATCCATCATTCCTAGGCCTGAAAACACATTTTTCTAATAAAATCATTGTTATTTAAAGTACAAAACAGTTTTAAATGTGAGCAGCTGAAACTTTTTCTATTTAACATATTTGCTATTTAACACACACACGCGTGCGTGAGCGAGCATGCACACACACAAACAAACAAACATAAAAGCTACCTGATGTTGAAGTGGAAACTGTTGTAGTAGTTGTGCTAGCTGCAGTAGCCGCTGCTGGTAATGGGGTGAAAAGAAATCTTTGAATTGTACCATTTGGCATAGCTGCTTGCATTAGTTGTTGTCCTGGTCCTGGTATTACCGTTACACCCTGTGGTATCAACTGTAACTGGCCTGTTGTTTGGCCCTGCCCCTGAATTACCACAGTCAAACCCTGACTGCCACCCTAAAAAACAAAACAAAACAACAAAATCAATATCCACAGCAGATTCCCCAGGGCTGCACTGCAGTATAAAAGATGAAACTGAGAAGGCTTAAGATCAGGGAGCTTCAGTGCAACCTTGAACAGTTTCACCATTCTAAGTCCACTGAAGTCAATGAGCTTAGAAGTGTCTACATCTACTTAGGATAGCACCGTCAGGCACTGAAAATGAACAGAGCAAGTAATATCTATGCAGAGGAGAAGGAATGTCCCAAAAATTGATCTACGGCACCAAGCAGTAACAGAATTCAAATGATACAGAGGGCTCAATAATATGCTCTCAATCTTCACCTGTGTTTCAAAAAACCTGGATCAGAAGACTTGAAGAGACTAGATGTGCGTACATATTTCTCAACAAGTATTAGGTAGTTAAAATAATACAGAAGCACTAATAGAGGCACTAAAATCAAAGTAAAAATTGCAAACATTTCAGCAATTTTCATCTCTTAAAAACAGATTCAGCGCTATAATATACTAATGCATTTGAAAGCAGTTATGGGTTTTTCAAAGCATTATGTCTTGGGATTCTGTCATATGTGAGCCCAGCTGCTTCCCAATGCCCATACTTCCACTGCAGGTCTTGGAAAAAGCAACTGGACTAATATAGGAACCACTGTGGGAAAGAGAGACGTGGTAACATGGCAATCTTCCACTCCTTTGCCTTACTGTGTTTTACATTTAGTCATAATATGATACTACCTTAAACTCTTTTGAGAATCAATGACATAGTTGCCGTCACTTTGCCTGAACAGCAAAAGCAGTAAAATATACAGCAATACTATTTTAAATTCCATTGTTTAAAACAGAGATGTCAAACTCATGTGATATGAGGGCTGGATCAGACATCAATGTTACTTTGTTGGGCTGGGCCATGTGTGCTGTAAAACGTGACACAAGATACCAGAGATATAAACATTATAGAGGTTATTTCAGATGCCGAATGGCAATAGCAGGTGAATGACAATGGCAAGCATGGAGGGGTAGTAGGCATGGAGATACCAGCATTGGTAATGAGACAAGAAACCTAGGTCTCAATTCCATCCAGGATTCAGTCCATGGGATGCAAAGAATAAATGGACATAACTAAGTCTGACATTAGAAACCACAACATTCAAAAACCAGTGGTGGAACATTTAACTTTCCAGGACAATTGGTTGCTGACCTAAGAGTAAGCAGTTCCCTTACAAAGGAATTTCAAAGGGAGATTAGAAAGAGAGGCTGCTGAACTGCAACTGATAATGAAGCTCAATGCATCCTCCAGGACTGAATTGAGACCTAGGTTTCCTGTCTCATTACCAATGCCTGCTATATTGTCATTTGGAATCTGAAATCACTTTACTCTCCAAGATATAAGAACCAATGGACTCAAATCTAGCTGTATCTGAAGAAGTGAGCAGTGACTCACAAGAGCTCATTCTCTGCCAACATTTTGTTAGGTGCTACTGGACTCTTGCTCCTTTCCTCGAATAAAGATTGCAAGCTGTGCTGTTAGGTTTCTTTTTTCCTCCTCCATCTGTTTAAACTGGAGAGGAGGGTCTCTCCAAGTGAAATAATGTGTTGATTTCAGACTGGGTAAAATCAGTGCTAGTGCATCAATAGCAAAGAGGGAGTGAAGAAAGGCAGAAAGAGAGGGAGACATGTTGAACTGGAACACATGGAACCATAAATGTATTTTTAAATACTTAGCCATCTACTTCCAATCATTAAACAATGGAATCCAATCCAAGTGTTCTCATTCTTAATCAGGGTCAGATAGGCACTGAGAAATCTAATCTTAAAAAAACCTTTTCAGAATAAGCCAAAATAATTTCCTTTTAATTCGCATGTGCGTGTGTGTGTGTGAGAAAGCAGAGAGAGAGAGAGACAGACAGACAGAGAGATCCCAGGTCTCAAAGAAACATTGCAGAGGAGGGTGATCTCAACAAAAAGTGTGCTTGGAAGAAGAATCCACCCACCCACCAGAGAAAGGAGGAGGAGGAGAGTAAAAGCTTATACCTGAAATAAAACTTTGCTGGTCTTAAAGGAGCAATGGGAATCAGACTTTGCTCTTTCTCCTGCACAAGAACTCACTTTTGCTTTTCCTCCCCCTCCCTTCCTTTCAAAGGAAGAGAGCTCAGCCAATGGAGGGAAGGGAGACTTGCTTTGGTTCCCTCCCTTCCTCTGAAAGGAGGAGCGCTCAGCCAATGGACAGAAGGGAGACTTGCCTTGGTTCTCTCCCACATGAAGCAGGAAGAGGGAGCTCGGCAAAAGCCAGCTGTGATGCAGTGGTGGTGGCAGCCCCAGAGAAGAAAGCAGCAGAAAGCCAGTTGTTCGTGGGCCAGATCTGAGCCCTGCAGGGACCAGATCCGGCCCACGGGCCATATGTTTGACACCCCTTATTAAAACACTTGTATTCCATCCCTCAGAACAACTTGTGGCTCAAATGATCGGTGAGTGCAAGGATTGTGGAGCTTTCTCTTGTTTTCCTTCCTCTCAGAGTTGATGGACGATTTGGAAATCTCCTTATTTGGGGCTGTTAACAAAATGAAAATAGTCTGTTTTTCTGATGAACTCTGCACATTGGAGGTTAACTCTGAGGGTCCTCCGCCCTCTCCTTGGGGTGGCTGGGACACAAGCAGAAAGATGGGAGCTGAATCTCGACTCTTGTGGAAAGTTGAGTTTACCTTGGGTCCGGCTGAAGCACCACTTTGTCCCTGCAAAAGACACACATATCTTTCCTGGCCTTGAAGGTCTTTCATGTGGAAGTGTTTAAGAGGAACCTCCCTTAATGGTTCAAAAGGAGGTTTATTCAGGTTTACTGAGAGCACTATGTGCAGTCTCCATGAGGAGAATTTGTGGACCACAGGAGGGTTGATCTGCGTGACACCTTTGAGGAAGCTTAAGATATAAGGATGTCTGGATAAGGGGACACCAGCTATATTGTGGCTATAGCTGCTGGCGACAAAGGGTGGATGCTTTTAGCTTTTGATAGATGCCCTCTTGTAGGAAGGCCAATAGGTGACCCAGGCCAGGGTTGAGGGAATTGACATGCTTGCACTGGCACCACCTCATGAAAGATGGGCTTTGGGGATGAATTGTCAACATATGGGACAGGCCCCTATACTATGGGACTCCCCCAAACAAGTGAGACAAAGCTCTTAGTTGTCAAGACTATTTTGACCCCCATTCCCCATACTTTTTGAGAAGAGCCATTCTCAAAGAAATTGGGGGAAAAAACCTATACTGAGGTGATACATGAGCTCGAAGGAAAGGGTCCTACATCCATGGCAGCAAAGAGAAGCTTGAGGAAGGAGTGCTCTCCCTGAGTCCATCACGTGCCGTTTTGAGTGGGAAAACGCCAACGCATGCTGGAGGAGAGGGGGAGCACTCCGGCAGCTTTACAAAGAGCTAGAAAACTTCAGAAACTCCATGTCTGCAGCAGGCCTATGAGTGTATGGTCCCATGTAGGGCTGCACAGAAGCCACAAAGATGATCATTCCCTGGTGAAGGGGGGAACAACCAAAAAGCATTACTATGCTGAGTGAAGTTGACACACAAACGTATACTGGGAGACAGTGTTCTGCAAATATGTGGGCCCCAAGTTGTGAAAGGCAGCAGTGGTGTTACAACAGTGTCTCAGAAATATAAAAAGCATACCTTTGTGAAGAAACTATTGATCTACCCTACTTAAGTGAAGCCAACAACAGACAATTCTAATTTTAACTTTTAACTCTGCAGAAGAAGAAAAAATAAATATTACTACCAAGGTAAGGTTTTAATCTATCCTTATTTGTCTAACAAGAGTCTCAAATGAATTTCAGATATGCACATAAATGCATACCCTTGAATTTTGAAACACACCAAAACTGAGACTGCTCATGCTTACCTGTCCTTGTGTGAGCTGCGTGAGTTGTGCCATAGTAAGTTTCACCTGACCCTGCTGAGGACGAGGAGGGTGTGGAGGTGTGGCTGGTGGCTGCATGTGCTGTGAAGGTGGCCCAGGAGCTGTTGCCATCTTCTGACTTGTAGACATGGTGGTAGCACTAGATACAGCTGTTGACACAGGCTGCCCTCTGATGATCTGAGTCACTACTTGCTGGGTCTGACCTGTACAGGGGCACCAACATTGGTGATATTAAAAAAAGCATTGCTACCACAAAACACCTCCTTGAAACAAATCATATTAATACATAAACTCTAATGATTATATCTCCCAGCTAGCAAACCCCATTGACTAAAACAATGCAATCAGTGGTATAGTCCCCCCTGGCATGTAAAACCAGAGTGATGTGCTTTGTTCTCTATGTATTTTAACAAATATCTTATTTATGAGGAGGACACAGCTAGTATATTTAATAGAATTATCCTAAATTAATGGAAGTTTGTTATAATTTCATTATAACATTGGCCAGGAAGGATGCAAAGAAAAGTCCTAAGGGGTTTTTAATATTTGTGATTGATCCTAAGCCCCTTTAAAACATTCATGTTTAATCAATAATGTAACACAAAACCCATAAATGCAGGTGTTAATAAGGATGATACTAAAATGATTATGAAATGAAGAAACAAACCATGGATTTCACACACTGGAAGTTTTAAAACCAAAATTAACCTACTGGCTGGGAGAATACCTTGCTGTACCACCACAGGTGTTCGAATTATGGTCTTTCCTAATGCTGACGGCTGAAGCGGTGTCCTTATAACTGTCATCCCAGGTCGGAGAGGAGTCCCAGATATTACCTATGCAAGTCCACAGACAAACATTCAACTTTTTTTCTAATGATAAAGGGAAATACCTAAAAACATAATCTTGTACATACTGAGACCCATCTATGAACGCTATGTTCTTAAAAGTTTTAAGGCTGCTGCTATTTAAAGAGCTCATTTCCCCTTTCACTTTGCCTTTCTGCTATTGTTGCTTTCCATAAAATGTTATTATTTATGTGATGTTATCCCTGAGCTGCTTTACAGTAAAATACTTGTGAGAATTAAAGTCATACAAAAGTAGGGAAACAGCTTGAGAAGGAAAAAAGGGCAAAAAGAAAGATAGAACAAAGGAAAGCAAAGACCAGTCCTTAAAAGTACCTAGAAAATAAGAAGCGTTTGGGGTACATTTCAAAGACAAGGAAGAAAGAATAATGACCCTTGGTTCTGATAGGTTCCAAAATAACCCCATTTATTTCAGGTGAATCCTCAAAATAAATACCCATTGGAATCGTTAATAAGGAAACTATGTAACAGAAAGCTGCACAGAAGCCAGTGTTTAATTTCTAGAACAAGAGGAGTTACAGTTTATGTCAGCTTGGAAATCATGCCATCAGATCTAAAAACCCTTCCCCAATAACCTAAGTAAACAATACACTATGTAGACATAAAGGATAGATGAGCAAGTGCAGACTGTTGTCACCCTACTGTAAGATTTTTACTGCTTTAGAAGTTTGTGATCTAACATTGGAAACAGGTTCCATCTTAAGCTGTGATTAATGTCTTGAGAGTATGGGCCCTGTTATCCCATTGTGATTTAAACAGAATGAATGATGAAGAAAATCAACCTATTATTCAGCCCCAAGAAAATCTATTAACACTCCTCAGCCAGTGCTATACTCCACAGCCGCAACACTCTTACTAATCCTATTAAATTTAAAGCCATCACAAAGTAATTAAAGGGAGTCCACTATCACTGTGATTAAAAAAACCAAAATATCTTACTTGTGATGCAGTAGTTGTACATACAGTCCCTGTATTATTTGGCCTAATTGTTACAGTTGCTGTCCTTGGCTGGAATGAAGTAAAGGTTTGTTGGTTTGCTCCAGTAGTTGATGGAATGATACCCAACACTTTTTGCTGCACTTGAACTACACCTAATGGGAAAAGAATTCAGAATGCACTGATTTAAACTCACATACCATGTCAATATTGGTATTGTACATGTTTGAATACAGACTTTATACACATGTGGTGTTGGTGTCTACATGCAAAGAAATACTGGGAAATAATCATAGGTCTTTTTTAAGATATCCCATGAAGACCAGAAGTATTACTATTAAATCATGTTTCAGTGGTCCCAAGAAAATTTCAGGTTGTCCTCTTAAAAAATTTAATCAGAGCTGCCCGTATTGTGTTTGCCAGATTTTGGAAACAAGATACATTTCTGATGCTGCGCTTATGGATAGAAAAAATTAAAAGAATTTACATGATGATTAAATTCTTTGCAAAGAAGTAAAAGTTTAAAGGAACTTGAATCAACATGGAAGACTTTAATTAACCATTTCAAAGCATATTCTTAGAAGAACTGCAGGTTGTTTAAAATGATAAATATATAGTTTTCTGTAAAATCTTTTTCTTTTTATTGTATATAATACTGAAATATTGTAATAAAAACACACTAATTTCTGGTATTTTGAAACTCTGTATTAAGCTATTTCAGAAAGTTTTTTTTACTAGTGATACTTTCATGGAGGATGCAATCCTAAAAATACTTCCATGACGAAAATAAAACTTACTTCTGAGTAGATCTACTTATTGAGTAGATCCTCTCTTATTGTCTTACCAAAGCCTACTGTGAATGCTTCCAAACTTGTACAGAATCAAAGAATATGAGTGCTCTCTAAAGAGTCTAAGATTCATCCAGATTCTTAAGAGTTCTTCGCAAGCAAAATAATAGGTCTGTAACGAAGGTGGAAGGAAGGAACTTCCTCTTAGGAGAGGAAAGTCTGAGCTAGGAGCAGTACACAATCCCACTGGCTGACTCCTGGTTTCTTAACCACAGTTAAGAAAGTACCAATGTCCTACCTGTACCAAATGTTAATCAACTTCTCCTGATCAAGTAACAAAATAAGAATACAATCAACTTTAGTCCACAATCAAAGCACAAGAACTCATTTTGCAATTTTTCCTTCATATTGAGAAAAGCTTGCAGCTGCTGTTCTATTAAGAGTCTGAAAGCATCTTTTTAAACCATTAGATTTCCAAACACAACAGGTAATAAGTAAAAGGTAACAGTGAACAAGATGACCAAGGTCAGCAACAAGAATATCAGATACTAGTGCTAGATCAGAGCTAAGCCCCCCTAGAGAAAATAGGAGCTTGAGCCCCTCCTCATTTTAAAATGTACATTCAAAAAGTAATTTTATTGGGAAAGTATCAAACTAAAGAATTAATTTTTTGCCAACATTTTGCTCCTACCTCCTTGAGTTGCTGGTACGTTAACAGCAACTATTTTGCTGTTTGCAGGCAGAGGCAGCTTTGTTAACACTTTCCCAGCCATAGTTACTGGACTGCTTGCAATCTGGAAAGTCTGACCGCTGCTGGAAATGGTTGTTGCTGATGTTGCTGCTGTGCTTGTGGCTAAGAAAACAGAAATGGTGCTCAGTTTCCATTTCTAACAAATAAGCACTGCTTTTTTTAATGATTACTTATATGCTTCTTGGGTATGTGGAATGGTATGGTATACCCTGATCTTGTCAGAGCTCGGAAGCTAAGCAGGGGGTTGGTGCTCGCAGAGGAAGGCAAAGGCAAACCACCTCTGCTTCTTACTTACCTTGAAAGCCCCTTGCTGGCTGCCACTTAACGGCTTCTTATTTTGATTTGTGCACCTGAGGTCACAGCAACTATTATGGTGCTATTATAGGAAACTACACAGCAAATTCCAGAAAAATTGGTGTATTCTAAATAAATCTTCCCTACAAAGAAATGCTAAATAAGCCAGATTCAATTATGGAAGAAAATAGGCCAGGGAACAAGATTAAAGTTTATAATGTTACTAACTACTGACAGAGTGGGCAAAAACCCATCCCCAGTGATGGTGCTAGGCTCAAAAGCTCTGGAGCATTAAATGCACAGGTTCTGTATGACGGGCACAACTTCAAGTACAAGCTGATCACAAGGATCTGCACAACTGTGTAGGTCCTATGTGACCCACATGCTGTGCCAGGTCATGTAAAATGAACATCCATACAAGTTCTCAGCTGCAAACCTACACCCCCTGCAGCCCATCGCTTGAGACCCTGCCCACACCACAAATGAGCCCCAGTATTATAAATAAATATAGGGTTAAGTATACATGAAAGAAAGCTCTCAGAGTTTGGTTTTTTCTGTTGTTATTGTTGTTTTTAATTTTACTAATGCAATCACCTGTTGAAGACTGGCCTTGCTTAACCCAGGTAGCAAAAGTCTGATGGAAGTTCTTGTTTTGTTGGAATGTAACTGTTGCTGGAGATCCCACTTTAGTTGCAAGCACTACTTTGGCTCCACTAGGTACAGAGCGTGGTAATGGGCCTACCACAACTTTCTGAGGAGCAGAGACTGTTGTTGCAGTGCAGCTAGTTACTGTAGCTGTAGAGGCCCCACACACCACCGGCGACTGCTTCTGTTGTTCCAGTCGCTTCTAGAAAAATTAAACACAGAGGTAAAGTGAAGACCTGTTAGCAATTAGCATGCTCACCGATACTAGTTCTTTCACTCAAGGTAAGATAAAGTACTCCACGCCTTCATTCTCTATGTTCAGTTACCTGGAAGCATGTCTCAATGAACACAGTGGGATTTGCTTCAAAAGAAACATGAATAAGACTGCAGAGCATCAAGCAACACACTGCATTGCTTCTGTGAAAATTATGTTTGATATAAATGTTTTTTTAAGGTGTCAGCATAGTCACAAACTGCTAGAAATCTGAAGGCTCTAAAAGCACTGCATAATTAAATGATCTTGCTAAATACAATAGCATAGTCCATCATTCACCACTACACGTAGGGACTGTAGACTGGGCCCCTCTCTCCCCACTTCTTTCACACACGGACAAGCAGTCAACTACCGTCTTTCCAACAAGCCAGAGTTTGGCACTACATCTATATTGACAAACTATGATTTATACTTTTGCAGTAAACCAAGGTTCCCAACCAACATTATTTATAACTACTTATTTTGCCTATGTAGGATAAGAAAGGACAGCATGATTACAAGAATAAGTCTGAAGCTTTTTCAAAGTTCATTCATGTAGTGCCAAACCATGGTTTGCTGCTATATCTGAACCACATCATAATTTTAAAGATACATATAATTCATATTTAGTTACTGATTCTAGAAGCAGGCTATTCAGGAACACAGTCAAGGAACCTGCTCTATTCCCAACTAATGTTGTTTGCCCCTATCAGGAGACCAATTTGCACTAACATGCACAAAGGAATCTGTTTTATGACCAAATCAGTTGCTTCTACTGAAATTCACAACACAGAACTGGAGAAGAGGCTAAGAGACTGAGCCACAAATTGCAAAGTCTCCACTTAAAATCTCTCCTCTGCTATGAATATACCAGGTGGCCTCAGGCAAGTCATTCTCTTTATCAACCCCAGGCCAACATCTGCCATATGGGGATATTAATACTGACCTACCTTAGAATTAAAATATGATGTATATGAAGCACCTTGAAAACTCCCAAGATCTATATTAATGCTTACTATTATTGGGTGCAACACAGAAAATATCAAGTGAAGCTTTCCCATGTATCATTCTTGCTGTGGTTCCCTGTAACCCCTGAAAAGTGACTCCTGAGTATTACAGGACCCTCTGGAGTGGCATGGGCGCGATGCAGGAGGCCATTGGTGGAAAAGAAATCAGAGATCTGCTCACAGAAGGGCTCTCTGTGGATCCTGCCCTTTATTTATTTGTAACTATTTTCTATGGGTTCAGGGGGCAGGGGTCGAGTTTTCATGGCCATAAATCTCTTATATGTAAGATAATATTAATTTTTAATCACCTATTAGAGTAGTAAGCTTTCTAAGGACTGCAGATTTTATTTTACTGTACACCACTTCAGGCACCTTTGTGCAGAGAGGTGCCTGTAAGGATTAAGTGCTGCCATGACTAACCTGATTATGCAGATCAACTCAATGAAGATTACAAATCTGAATAGTATTAATTCAGTAACACTTTAGTCACAATAATAGTAGAGTGCTGTGTAGTATTTCTATATTGTTATGCAGTAATGGATAAACAGTAATTTGGTTTAAATGGCATATGATACTAGGAAATGGACATTTTAACTGGAAAGGCGTGTTACTGGATGTTTGGATTCACAAACAGTATTTAATGTGTAAAAAAAGAGAGATGTGAAAGAACTTTAGAAAAGGAATAATATAGTTTTTGATTAGATGAACAAGGAAATTATGTCTCATGCCTGCATGCATGAATCACAACTAAGAGGTTGTGTTTGTAGCTAGATATATATCAGGCACATATCAAATTAAGAATTTAATTTCCATTCCAACATGGAAGCATCTCTAGTTCCACACTTGGCAGGCTGCCAAAAATTACTTTCATTTTGCCGATTTTTTTTTAAAAAGGGTGATCTCTGCAAAACAATTTGGATGGAGCAAAACACTAAGAGAATTATTTGACAAAACACTTGTTATAAAAAGCACAACAAATGACAGACTTTAGTACAGTAATGTATTTTCCCACTAGGAATATGGGTGTTTTTAGTGATATTAAAATGTTAAGTAAATCTGTCAAAGAGGGAGACACTTCCATGTTGGTTTTATAATGAACAAATGTGAACAATGCAGACTTCAACAGGCGGGACTAAAAGGCTAACCCCACCTGCTGGGCAGCCAATCGCTGTTGTTTTAGTTGAGCCTCCATTTGGGCCTTGAATTCCTCAGCCTTCTTCTGCTCACTAACCTTAGCCTGTTGTTCAACTGCTTGTGCCTTTTCTTTCTCCACTCTGCCGAAGAGACAAATGGAAAATCAGTACTGAGCATTGTAAAGTCATTACAAAACAAATTATTTAAAATACTACTGTTATATGACATGAACCAATTTCCTGCATTGTTGATATGTTGCAAAACAAATGTTCCAGTGACAGCAAGTTTTACTTTAAAGACTATTCTTTATACAGAGGTACTTGTAGAGATTTTCGCAATTAACTTAGCAACATGGCAAACATTTCAACGTCTATCTGCTGCCTGTTTGAATCACTTGTGCCATCCCGCCAGTGATTCAGTTGCTATGGTATCATGGAATCTACATGAACATTCTAACTTGTCAGGACACAATATATCAGCTAAGCAGAATCTATACAAACAGTACAGATTTGGTGGGGAAAAGTCAGTAGACAAGTTGGCTTGGGCCTAAAATTTCAAAGAATACTGTGGTTAGAACTGTGTAAGGAAGCAAACTTGAAAAACTGAAAGATGGGAAGAAGGACCAGATGAATGGTGTCTCAAGAAAAACTAATAAGTACTGGATTCAGAGACAGGAATGAAGCTAAGATGTGTAAAGGAGGCCTGGAGTGGATCATAATAAAATACAGGTGGGGAAATCACAGTTATATGGGTTGTTGCTGGCATGATGTTATGGACCAAATGAGGCAGGGAAGCTGGGGTTTGGAAAGCTGAGAGGGAACAGATATTAAAAGTAGGTGGACAGATGATATAGCAAGCTAAAAATCTTGGGCCTGGTTGTCCTGAAATAAATCAATTGATGAAGAACTAGGAAGGAAATAGGCAGGAAGATTGCCTAAGCAAGAAAGCATGGAGACTAGATGCTGAAGTCCAAAAAAGAGCAAAACTAAAGCAGCAATATCTCACATTCATATATTGGACTTGATTCTATTAATCTGTTCTGTTAATGAAAGTTATTGATGTAAAGTGCTATCTAGAGGTTTTGGTTCACACAACAGTTTTTCATGCACACAAAATATGAAATCGGTAACTGGCTACATTCACTTGAATAAATAACAAATAAATAATTAGTTTTGTTCGTTTACCTTTCAGCAAATGCTTTTATCTCCCAGAGTTCCAATTCCTCCTCTGCTACCCAAGTTTCAATAATTACAGGGCCAGTTTGCTTTGGGGTTTCTGGCCTTTTAGGTCTCAGTGCACTTGATCGAAGACCTTTCCTTTGCGGTGTAGGGGTTTCTTTAGAAAAACATAAATTTTCAGCTTAAATATTAATAAAGGGTAACAAAGTAACATCTCCCTGTGTGTTCACGATCCTCTATAAGTAATCTGAGAAACGTCTATAAACAAATTTACCTTTAGGGGCTTCTGGAACTCCAAGGGGACAAATAATTTTCCGTATACAGTATTCTGATCGAATTCCATAAGGTCCAACATCTCTCCGCTTGATTATTTCAGTTGTTGTGATTTCTGTTTCTGATGTTTCTGCAACAGTTTCAATTATTATTTATTCATAAGTTAATTTTTTTAGTGATCTCATCAAAAAAGTTTGGACAACTTACTCTGAAGATCTTGGCCTGAGTTATACAGATTTTAGTAAAAAGTAACATGGATTTGAATAACAATCTACAGAGATAACTTCAATTGATTAGTAGTATAATTTTAAAAAGAACGACATTTTAATGAATTTTGCATGCCATAAGATACTGTCTCATTCAGTATCCTGTGCTGAAGATATGGATTGCAGCAATACATATAAATGATTATGTCTACCAGCTAAATTACTAACATTGTCATCAACAGTTGTGGCACCTTGAATTAATTCACCTTTTGTATAATGTAACTGAGCAATTCACAGATATGGAGCCAGTTACACTGCTAAAATGTGTCTGTACCAAACACAGAGTTTTGGCTTACAGATTTGAAACACAATTGAAAGTGTTCACTACCAGCTGACAAGAGGATGTACATTGTTGAGTGAGAGTACAAAAGATCCCATAAAAGAGATGAGACTGATGGGCTAAAATACAAACACCTTGTAATGGTACCTTGGAGCCCATATAATTTTACACAATAGAGGATTACTGGTGTTTCTGAATACTATTATTAATCTATTATCTCTTTATTTCACCATCGCAGAATTTAAGTGGTACAAATAGGGTTCCCGGTAAATCTGCTGTCCAGGCACTGATGAGACCCAAACTGGCTCAGCTTCACAGCAAGGTTCCTATTAATTGTGCCTTTCAATCTTACTCTGGTTCTCCTATATGAATATTTTTCTGTCTAAGATACAGAATTTGGTCTTATAGACATGTGAAATTCTCTGAACATCTGAATTAACCAAGACTGCTTAAGTGTTCTGCTATCATGGACTTTTCTGTGCATGGTGAGGTTAGCTAGAGGGGGTCCTTGAAAGAAACAGCTAATGTCCTACAAAGTTCTACAAAAACAAAGTGCACAAAAACAGACTCTCACTTGAAGGCATTATATTACGTATTACCAGTGATCTTGTAAACACTGAATGCAAAGAATTGTTCTCGTAATGGCAATAAACAACCTGGTCCAAAATGACAGACCTGTTCCAAGCATAGGATGGCATCCATAAATACAAACATTCTCTAAAAACAAAGTTCACAAAAACAGACTCTCATTTGAACAGACTGAAGTTCATGTAGTTTGCAAGTTTTGAAGGCATTATATTACATACTACCAGTGATCTTGTAAACAAACAATAAGTATTCCTTTAAAAGACTACCTGTGCGTGTAATTCCTCCACCCGGTGGGGGTTTGGCAGCCATATCATCCCACCTTAGGCATGCCCACAGTAGCCGCAGCATAAGGCTTACCCCTGCCAATGATTTTACGGTTTGAAGCCGATATCTAGGAAATTCATAAAGTAAGTACAATTTTGCACACTTCTGCTGTCATAAAATACACAGCTCAAAATATTGGAAGTCTCTTACTTTCCTGACTGCTAAATAGAGTATCTTTCTATATAAATCAGTGTACCTTGCCAGCCTTTATTACTGCACGTTCAGCCCTGCTAACTACAGGTTTATGAGCATAAATGAACATTTCTTGAACTGATAACCATTTCACACGTTACATTTTCTTACAGGACTGTAAACTATATACCCCTGTATGAAATGTCGTCTTATGAGGACTATATTCATACTCAATAAATTTGAAAACAACAAGGTACATAGTAACATGTGTTTAGTGGATTGCTGTGATACTCCTATCTTACAAAGGGGTATGTTCCTACCCAACTGAAGCAATGGTGCATATGAAAGGCAAGAATTTCTAAGAAATTTTAACCCTGTTATAGCAACCTGGAGTCCCTTGGATGATTTGAAGCAGAGGTCGATTCGGGGGGGATTGCAGTTCCCCCGGGTGAGGTGTAGGGGCGGGGCCCCGCCCCTTCTTCCAGCCACCCCCTTCTTCCAGCCTCATTCTGTTGCAGGAGGAGGAAGCAGCAGGAGGGTAAGCTGGCGTCCTCCCCCTCTGCCTGGCCGAGGCCACTCCACGTGGCCTCCGCAAGGACTCCCAGCCCCATCCAGGAGCTTCCCCGAGGTAGCTGTGTTAGTCTGTTGCTGCAAAATAGTCCAAGAGTTCAAATAGCACCTTTAAGACTAACAAATAGCACCTTTAAGACTAACCTTTAAGACTAAGACTAACTGAGTGGTGGGTGTGGCCTTATGACACACTTCCGGTGGTGTCAGGGGGTGTGGCACATGCTATGCTAATGAGTTCCCCTAGCTCTTTTTTTACGAAACGACCCCTGATTTGAAGTTTCTAATGTTAACAAGCTCTAGAGAAAAGCACTGCTTATTTTTAGAACAAGACTCATGACAATCAATTTTGGGAAACTCTTGAACACTGACAAAACAAATACTGCCAAATATAAACCTATTTAATAACATCTTGTGGCAAGTCTGTTTTCTAGGTAGAAGACAACAGAAAATTGTTATCTGTTTTGCAAGAACTCAAATGATTTACCTACACAAAGTTTTAACTCTCTCTAATCAAATGAGGTCAAATTTTTAGGCTAGTTCTCTATGGAGGCCTTTAGCTTCTCATTTGAAGCCTAGCACCTTCACTAACACTACACATGGAAGATGCAGGAAACTGCTGGCTGTGCAGAGGCCACAGTGGCAGTGTGCCTTTCCCCCCTCCCCTTTTACTCCAATGCTCTAATTAGTGTATATACTAATCGCATAACAGGACCTAGGAGCTTTCCTACATGAACAAAACTGAAAAAAGAATGCTGTAAATGGAGTTCAATCCTTTGTGAAACAAAATAATGCAGGCCTCAGATTTAAAAAGGGATGACAACTGAAATACTAAATTTTCATGCTAGAATATTTATACCACTCTGGTTTACATACTGAAAGCCCTCCCCCTGAAAAGTAACTTTTAAAGGAGTCATTAACACTGTACCTCCAAGTGATACCAAAAGTTGGTCTTGGGGATGGATACGGCCAAATATCCAAAGCAGGTTTTGCAGTGTAGTTGAAACAGGGAACCTCTCTGATCCCTCCTTTTCTTGCCAGCTTCTTTAGGTCGTCATTGGGCAAAACAAATATGCTCTTCTTACTGCTTTTGGTAACAAACTTCCTATAAGATGGCAAGGCTGTTCCAGAACGAGCCTTTTTAGGTCTTGAAAATTTCATCAGCTTCACTTTGTCTCTTGTGGAATATTCCTTGCTGACTGTCATAGAAGTCACCAAGGTTCCTCCTGGAATAGTCAAAGAATCCATTACTGTTGTCGTAACCACAGTTTTACTACGCTCCTTTACCGAAATCATATCAGCATCACTGTCTGCAGGAGGACTGGTAAGCTTTGTTACAGTGGTTGTGGTTGTAGTAGTTATAGTGGATATGGAACAGTTTTCAGAGGATGACACCATGCTTTCTTTATCATCCTTGGTGGCTGTCAATTGTGATACTTTATAAATAGTTTTGGATTCAGTAGAAACAGTAGATGTGGTGGTCACTTCTGTAACAACAGCTTTTACTGCATTTTCTCCATTGATATTTTCAACTTTGCTGTAAGTCTGCAGTCCATTTTGATCAGCAAAGTCGTTACTCAAGCTAGATTCCTCACCAGAAATTATAGGCGACAGGGCAGCTTTCTTTACACATGGAGGTTCCATTTCCGTGCTTTCTGTTTCATTATATATACTGTTCTCATTACAGGACTGTAAGGCTGGCATGGGTGTGTTATCAACAGGACTAAATCTTTCTGGAGAATGTTGCTTCTTTCCAACGTTTTGAGTAAACTGGGAAGCATTATCTTGAGGCAAAACATTTTCTACAGAATCACCATCCAAATCCATAGCATTTTGTGCACATAACTCAGTGTCCAAGTTGTTTTTTTCATCTGTATCTTCCATAGCAATATCACCATTCATAAATGGTTTTACAGGTAAATTAGAAGAAAATGGTTTCATTAAAGGATTGCTTTTATTAATATTATTGACTATCGAATCAATATTACTCTCTCTCTGTGCAACTGACTCTCTTTTTAAGCACTGATCATTAGACAATACTTTAAAATCAGCATCTTTTCCATTAATTTGAAATGCTGTCGATTTTTCTTTTTCTGTTCCAGTATCTAATTCTCCATTTTTATTATTTTTGTCAGCAATACTTTTTAACTGATCAAAGCATTTATTTATGGAACTTGGTGGGACAAACTTTTCCCGGTCTTGTTTTTCTCCATTTGTTTCAGCTATTTTAGATTTCACTACCTCATCAATAATATTTGCACCAATCATGTCAGGAATCTGGGCCTCATATGCCTTTTCTGAAATGAGTTCAGTGTGTAGTGGCTTTAGTTTCCCAAGAGTTTGTTTCTGATTCAACAAAGTTTTGTTTTCAGATGTATCTTCACTATTTTCCTGAGTACCCTCCTTTACATCATTTGTTTGCACCTCAGAATGATCTTCTAAACTGCAAGTTGCTATAGAATCACAGTCCTGTTTTTCAGATTTTAAAGCTTCATGTCCTTCCTCAGTTGAAGATACAACATCTTCTTTGCAAATGCTTTCAGGTAGCACTGGCTGAACATTTTCATACTGAGTTTCTGCTGCACTTATTTGCTCTGAGCTTTTTGCTGTGTCTTTTAAGATGCCATATTCATCAGCTTCTTTGCTTTCTATTGGTTTAGCTTCATTCACAATGGAGTTATCAATCTCTATTCCCTTACTCTGTGCTTGAATTTTATCTGTATCTATCAGTTCAGACTTATTTTCATCTGTACTCTTCACTACTAAGCTTTGAGTATCAGGGCGCTGAACTGAAGCGACACTTGTTTCGTCCTCTAATAGTCTATTTAAACATGGCATAGATTGCACTGGTTCACTGGTTTTGGTAACACAGAGATTGGTAGATGACAAGAGGTCCTGAACGGGATCCTCAGTTGCATTTGTACCTGAAATATGGGTTCCATTTGGGGAAGTTAAATCCATCTGTTTTCCATCTGCTGCCTTAGTTATTTGTTGGTCATCAACATTCTTCTGTGGACTCAGAGGTTTACAACCTGAAGAGCTGTTGCTAGCTTTAAGCTTTATTCTTTCTAGTCGCTGTTTTTCCTCCAGTGTAAACTGTTTCACTCTCCTTTCAAGTAGTCCATCTAATTTTGATGTTTTTACTTTCCTTTTGTAATAAGTTCTTAAGTGAAAACCCTCACTGACATTGATTAAATCTGCACTGATAGGGGTTTCTTCATCGTTTGTAGAGGTATCAATTTTTGCTTCATCTACTTCCATAGGTTCCTCCTTGATGTCTTTATCATTTTCATCAACGTCTTTCTCCACTGCAAAGAAATTATTTTTAATCAGTAAGTCATTTGGTAATGGTATGTATATCTAAATCATGGGTGAGCATGTATTTTTGTATATGAGCATTTACTAACTGCACAGAAATTGGATGCTCCACCATACTGATCACAGTATCAGCATAAATATCAAATCTCTGAGACATTATATAAAGGGGAATAAAGTCTCATTAGAATCAATGGGATATGTGCCTGAGTAAACCTATGCAGAATTACTCCACTCTAATGCCACTGACTTCAATGGACTAAGAATGAAGTAACTTTGCAAAGGATTGCACACCAAGGCAACAGTCACAGATTTAGTGGCATTCAGATATACTTAAATTTTCCTACCTTGTTTGATTCTCCCTAGTAACATATGTAAGGCTAAGTATTCAACCACCCATCAAATGGTTAATTACCTTTTTTTGCATGATCTGATTTTTCAAAATTGTTGTCAGCTTCAGCCTTCTCTTCTTTTATTTCACTTTCTTCCTTTGTTTGACCCTTCTTTGTGGTCTCAGAGTTTTCAGTTTCCTTTTGGTCCTTCTTGTGTGGTTCACGAAAAATTCTTATTTTGTCCTTCAAGGAGCCAGATTCTATTTTTACTTTTGTTGGATTTTTCCTTTTATCCAGTTCACGTTGTTTTTCTGAGATGGTATCATCCCTCTTTGCTGGTAAGAAATTGCATATTTTTAAAAGTGAGTAACATAAAACTGCTCCTGAAAGTAATCCAAATAACTCAGACATGTAACCACTAATTAAAAAGTAAAACACTAGCATTTTAAAGTATCCAGAACTCAGAATGAGTGAAGCAGCAAAAGAATGTGAAGCAGCAAAAGAATGAGCATCTGTTTTTCTTCCTATTTCTGAAATGCTATTTTATTAAATAGTAACAACGCTGTCCATTTCCCCCAAAATAAGAACAAGTGATTTCCATTAGGAGACATACTAAAAAGCTATTCTCAATCATCATTGCTGTAGCCTAAGTAAAACCAGGTAGTCATTTCTACACTAACTTCATCATATGCAGAATACAGATTCAAAATCCTTTCCCTAGTTGAAACAAGGGAATTTTATGGATTACCAAATAGTCAAGCTTCCCCTTTTGCTGCAAGGTGTAATTCAAATAATGAAGACAATGGGTTAGATCCAACCCTGTCTACATGAACAAGTGGGGTGCATTTAATTCCCCTTTTCATAGCAGTCCCCCACCCTATGTCCCATGCTAATTCTGATGTTCTCTGACCCCCAGGAGCAGCTTTTGAGGGCCAAGGGGCTATAGCAAGATAGAAGTGGTGGCAGAGATCCATAACTCATGTGGTCTTCTGGATTCAAACCCATCAATTACAAAAAATTAAACCACTTTGTGAATTCAGACTAAATACTATATTAAGATTATTTATGACAGTGCATTATACACAGATTGATGAAATACATACACATAAATTTGACGACATACCAGGAATTCTAAATCTTCTGAAGTATTTGCATAGAAATAACCCGCCCTGAGCCTGCTTGCGGGGGAGGGCGGGCTAGAAATACCATGAACTAAATAAATCAATAAAGTGACTAATAAATTATGGAAGCATTTGAAAACCAACGGTGCTGTGGGCATATTTTTGATGCAGTCAACTGAACAAGGCAATAATTGCATGTGAAATAAAAATTTCTTATACTTACTTGGTAGTGATTTCCTGTAACTAACATTAGTATTTCCAGGTAGTCTGGGCACAAATCTATGAACATGGGTTTTACTAATCCAAATCCATCCACCATATCCGGTTACTCTATACTCTTCTCCTTTTTGTTTCCAAACCTGTTAACATTACGGAAACTGATTTTTAAAATAAATTTACTTGAATTGCTTACATGTATTACAGTACCATCCACAAATATAATGAGTTTGTCTGGAGGCAGCCTCAGCACCCCCATACCTAACCAGAGGTAAAGGGGAGACGGCCACATGGAGGAGCCTGCCCACAGTAGAATCCAGTCCCACCTCTGCCAGTCGACATAGCAGGGCAGTCTGCCCTCCAGTTGGTAAACCCATTGAAGCAGGACCTGCCTAACAGACCTGCATCAGGCAAGAGAGGATGGGGGTGGGGTGGCTCTGAGCCTTAATGTACCAGCACCAGAGGGCTGGGGGGAGGCAGACCAGCCATTTAAAGGAAGTTGAGTGCAAGGTTTGAGGCTGGCCTGGCACAGTCGCACCCAATTGGTAATCACTCCTGCCAATCAACCCAGGATGGTGGGGCAACCCTGAAGGAGGCAGGAGGAGAAAGGGGCGGGCATATCTTGGAGAGTTTCCCTCATAAAGGCCAGGGACTCAGGCCTGTTAGCTAACTGGCTACTGGGGAGGGCAACAGAAAGAGAGGAAGAACACCTAAGGTAGTGTTAACCCCTCCCTTCTCTTATCTAAAGCCTGTTGAGGCCTACAAGAGGGACCCTGGAGGGAGGGTCAGCGCTGCCCAACCCTGATACTGTGGCAGACACAGAGTTTTAAACAAATATTACAAGGAACTATTTTACATTTAGCCTAGGACCAAAGCCAGTAATAATCAAAAAGAAGAGAAAGGGAGCAGGGCTTGTTAAGCAACGAACTGTTTACCAGAATTCCAAGCACATTTCAAACATAACTGTTCTTCAGTAGGTAAATTATTAATTACATAATTATTTAAAAAATCTGATTCTTTTTTAAATTCAGTCTCCCCCAGCAGATTCCAGAGTTAAACAACAGTTCCACGATTGTTAAATTCCATTCAGGTTTCCTATGCATAGGAAAATTTGTTCTCTGCAGACTCGTTTGAACTGGAAACTATGGAAACCAGTTTTCACCCATTTGCTTAATTAAAACATCATGCCATGCTAAACTGTGGTTAAACAAGAAATGATCAAATCATCTGCCACCAAAAGATAACAGAGATCAGTATTCAGATTAGATGATATTAAACAAGTGAGGACCCCCCCCCCGACCTAGGGAAGCTCTCTGGAAATAAGCAGTGTACCTGGGGAACTTCATCCATTAACCAAGTCTCCTGAACGAGTAAAATATCAAAAGAGGCTACAAATGCTTTCGTGTCCTTACAATGAGCTCTTGAAAACCACTCATCTACATTCCTTCTTAAAATATGTAGCCTGTGAGTCCCACTCCGTCAGTCCCTTGCTGCACTGGAATCTGATATTGCAAAAATGGTGGTATTCCCCACATTAATTATGCTTTTATTATTCAAGAGGGACAGGAATTTTCTCTCCTAATGGGCTAGGAGGGTGATTTCACCAGTAGCATTAGGTGGAAGCTGGTTCTCGATTCTGTAAGAAGACTTATATATGGCAGCTGAAGCTAGAGCTGACTTTCTTTGATTGAATGGCTGGTTACATTCCAGCCTGATTTCTGATAGTGTGTGCTGTAGTTTCTGAAATGGAATGATTATAGTGTCTTGTTCCTCATAAGGTAGGGAGCAAATGATTGGAGAATATTTGCATCCACTAGATCCAGCTGGGCATCCTTCAAGAGGGATGGCAAAGGAGGAAAGGTTTTAACTTCATCTGCTAGAGTCATAATGATTAGCATTATCTTTCCTGGTTGGTGAGAATTCAATCAAGCGTCTTTCATTAGTAAATACCACTCTTTTGGGGTGAATTAAATTTTCTTTGCTATCTTCTGGTTAGAAATTTTCCCCAAAGGGACAAGCGGAGCTACAACTGGATTACAGTAACAATTCCATGGGATGATCCCATGGGAAGTAAACCAGTTTTGATTAGCCAGAATTTGAGAGGGAATGCTAGAAGTACAGAAAGAAAGAGTCAAGTGAATTTCCCTAAGGGAGCCTGGCATTTTTTCAAAATGTTTTAAATTCATTTTCTTTGTGTGGTAGTTTAACAGGTATCCTAAATGTTCTTTTATATGTCATTTATTATTCCAAGAAATCACTCTCCTCCTAAAAGGAAGAATAAGGCAGTGAATTTTTACATATATCAGGAACCACAGTGGAAAAAGAAAAGGGTGGATTTTAATAGAAGTTCCTTGCAAAGAGTCTTTGTTGTTGTTGTTTAGAGAAGTACCATGGCCTTTATCCAATTGTTTTTTAACAAGCATAAGAAAGGAGGCTATCTGGTCACCCAGGGAATTAACCTTATGATAACTTTTCTGAAGATTTTCAGCTACAAATAATATCTGTGAGGCCAGAATGTCTAAAATATGTAACTGATCATTTCTGCTCCCCTTTGTTTCTGAAGAATAGAATTTCTTTGACAAAAACAGGTCAACACTAGAAATAGAATCTGAAGAGAGAGAAGAGATTGGATTTATACCCCGCCCTTCACTACCTGAAGGAGTCTCAGAGCAGTTTATAATCCCTTTCCCTTCCGCTTACCACAACAGACACCCTGTGAGGTAGGTGAGGCTGAGAGAGCTCTCTCGAGAACTGCCCTTAAGAGAACAGCTCTGAAAAAACTTATGACTGACCCAAGGTCACACCAGCAGCTGCATGTGGAGGACCCTGTCCTCCCAGATTAGAGTCCACGCTCTTAACCACTACACCAAACTGGCTATCTGAAGTAGGGTTCTCCTGCATACAGGGTCCACATTGTCCCACAATAACATCGTTTCCTGTTCGTCCTATAAAGTATGAAATCTATTACAGGTTTTGACTCCAAAAGTAAAAAAAGTATCTAACTTACTATGTTTTGGAGCAGGAGAATTAATAGAATCGAAAGGACAACCCCTTTTCCTGCTCATTTCTAAATACCTGTGATCATATATAATGTAATCAATAAAATCAGTAAAATCAATAAATTTTAAAAATAAAATATTTAAATAGTTAAAATTATAAATGTAAAGTAATAACTTGGTGGAAAGTGCTATAAAATAAGAAAATTATATTATAATTTTTAAATATATATATTATAAAATTTGAAAGGCTTAAGAATAAGCTACAAGACTATCGCTAAAAGGGGGTACACCAAATTTTAAAACAACCAGCTGCTGGGAAAGCCCAACTTAATTGCCACACTGATACTTCAAACTGCCTACCCACTCTCTTAGTAAATTTACTAAAAATCTAGGCTTCCTTTATACAGGCAAACCAACTCCCCCTCCAACCCTGTAACTACCTGTTTGTAAAATTTATATATTAAAAAAGAAAAATAGCATAATCCCTCCAATAAATAAATAAATAAGCCTTCAGGTATCTTAAAACTTTAAAATAAACACCCTAAAGCCTCAAGAGTGCTAACAAGTCTCAAGAGTTTTCTCGCCACTCCATCCACACTCTCGCTTGAGTAGATAACCAAGGGAGGAAGAAAGAATAAAGCTACACAGAGACGACAGAAGCTACATACTAGAGATTAAAAAAATAGGGAGGATCAATGCAAAAGAAGAAGAATAAGGTTGAAATTGGCAGCCTCTAAGCAGAGCACAGTTTACAGACATCCCACACTATCAAACCAGACAAAACCGTGGTTAAATCTAACTATGGCTTGGAGTAACATCTAAATTGACAAAGTATCTTTTGTGATTTACCAGCAAGCCAGAATCAGAAACCATTGCTGGAAATAGATCGCACTATGTTGATGCTTAAACTAATACACTGTGTTTACAAGTATCACTCCAGATCCAGAGTCTGCTTGCATGTTGTATAGGATTAGATAGCATTTTCTAACATGAAGCCTCACTGGAGCAAAATGTGAACTTGTTGACCAGTTCAGAGTATTTCTCCATGTCTGCACAAGAAACCTCATTTAAGCACGAAAGCATAACCAGTTTTGTACTGCACAAGAATCATGCAGCAGTGCAAAATGGAAATAGGTACACACAGATAGACAACTGTTATTTACTGAAGCAGTCTCTGCTGACACAATGCAAGAAGGGGTATAGCCAACTTAACTGTGCTATCTGCATCCAACCAGGCAGAAGGGTGGGGCACACAAATTCAAGGCAATCTGCATGAAGAAGCCTCTCCCTGACACCTTTCCCTACCAAGAAACCAGCCAAAAGAGTAAATTATCTGCACAGTATGACTTTATAGGTGGCCTTTCCCCATAAGGAAAGACACAGAGAAACATTAGTTGCAACTCTATTCCCTGGCTAAACACAAAGCTCAGTATGATCAAATAACCGATGCCCTATATAGTGATTGGGGGAGGAGGGCATGCATCTTGGGAAGAGAAGTCAACATGCCTTCCGAAACACAGGTACCTTTTGTTTCTCCCTTTGTTCTAGCTAATGTATCACTTCCTTGTGGACTGGGCTTGTCCGGTTTTAGTGTTTTAAGAAATCTATGTTTTATTAACTGAGCAAGACAACATTCTATTATAGCATTCAGCTATGGCAGCAGTCAGAGTCCAATAAGAATCAAGCTGTGATCATGTTACCTATTCTTGGGCTGCATTTTTTTTTTTTTAAAGCAAAGACAGCAAAAATTCACCCAAAAAGTTTAGACTTCCAACAAACAAGACTGCTGTGCTGAAGCAATACCTGGTGTTTGATGGGAAATGTATACTTCACCCATGTTGCTTGTTGTATGCTTTCTCCCTCCTCCTGCTTTCTTTCCTTTTTTTTAACCTTCTCCTTTTCTTCTCTTTCAATAGATGTCATTCTCCGTAGCCTTACATTGCAGAAGATACAATACCACATATTAGTCTTTCCAACCGACCATATAATCATTTGAATGTCACTTGTACATTATGATTTCCACCTTACCTGGTATGCCCCAAGGACTCCCTCCAAATCGGCAGCATGACAACTGGTTTAATTGCACACTCTAATATAGCCAAAGCTAATGCAAATTCTCTAGGTTTGCTACACATCTGAACAGCCTTTATCCAATTAGACCTATTGTGGCAAAAATAAGAAATCTTTTAAGTTTCTTTCTGTACATAATGATATCTTAACTGACTGCAAAACACTGGACCAGCAGTTATGAAAATGGCCTTAGTAGCACAAATGTAACAGTTTCAATAACAAGTATGTAATACTTCAGAAATATAATGAAAAACACAAATGAGTTCACCTGTGGGAAGCCCAGTTGGGGTGAAGGAATGAGGACGGGATGTTGTTCTCTAGCTGAATGATTGTTAGCCTCAGAGTGGATATTGTAAGAACTTTTGACCCATGAACAGATCCATTCCATTTGAATTCCCCAGCTGGACTCAGACAGAATTTATGAGAGAGGTGCCGTCTCTTGTCATGGTCTTCCCGATGCTGATGTTTGTTCAAAGCAAATGAATTTGTAGCATATTGATTATGGTACACTCGGTATTTCCCTTCTTGACCAAGTTTGAAATAATTGTTGATGTTTCCTTTCATCACTATTTCTTTTTTGGTGTTAAGTCGAGAGATTTCCCCTTGGGAATTAACCACAAGGACCTTATTAAAGGGAAAAAAATAAAAATTACACTCTTGTTTTAAAAGCCTAACCCCCCCTTACCTTTAGAACGATAATACTGATGTTTAACAACAGTAGGTTAGATCCAGTGCTTCTTTAACACTGGTAAAAGGCACGTTCACCAGTGGGGGAGGGGAACAGTGTTTGTGCCAATTCCCCCTTTCCCATTTCCATGAGTTAGCCCTCAAGGCAGGCTTACAGGGATTCTTGACCCATGACAACAGCACAAATAATTTTCTATTCTGGAGCAAAAAAAATGAAATAGCATGTTTAATACAGGAAATCCTGTTGCACTGTGAACGGTCTTGGTATCCTAATGAAAGTTACTAGGTGGCACTCTTCATCTAGCTGTCCTAGTAGCAAGAGCACTTCTGAACTAAATAATACAACCTTGGTTTATTTTGTAAAAAAAAAAATTCAAAATGAAATTCCAACCTCTTTGCCTTCTTTAAATAGCTTATTTGCTTCATGAGCAGCAGCAGCAACCTGTTGACTTTTCAGCTGGCTGAGCTTGCTATCCGGATTCCGTAGCCGAGTGACCATTCGTGTTGAGCCCGGGGTGCCTCTTCCCATGCTTGGAGAGTCACTTCTTTCACCATTAGATTTATCACCTGCCAATTTTTTAAAAAAAATCCTATTTGAACATGTGCTACACAGAAAGCAAAATTCTGTGCATTTTTCTTCAAACACAGAAATTATGTAATTAAAACTGAGACCAGAATATGCTGGTAATTTCTTACCTAGCTCCTCTGCACTCTGGGATCCTCCTTCAGTGTTTTCCATTTCATCAGATGTCTTCATAGATTCACTGTGCATAGAGTTGAGCTCATAGCTAACGGTGTTTTCTGAATCTGGCAAGAGGGCTTCAGTAGATGAACCAATATCCAGGCTAGAAATAGTCTTAGTTGTTTCATCTACAAAAGGTAACTATTTTAAGTCAAGAACACTTCAAATTGCAAATAGAAATAAAATTCTGGCCTGAAGCTGCTGAAATGCCAACACAAGATAAATCCCAATGTTTTCTTAATGTATCAAAGATATAGTATATGTTTAATTTTACATGCTGATGTATAAATCCCTTCTGATCCAGCGAGACAAAGAACAGCTCTTTCCTGCCTCCCCCTCCCAAGTCTCACAATGCTTGTCAGCCCTCCCTAAGAATGGTGTGAAAAGCTGTATGGAACCAGCTGGAAAAGGGAATCCGTGAACCTGTCAAGTGGTGTGGGGGAGAGTGGCCTCGGATCCAACCACAAATCTTCTTTAATCAGGATCACACCCCTGACTCTGAACCCCTTCCTCACACACCCTCTTGTCTGTCACATCTTTTAATCTCAATATGGAATAGAATCCCCACTCCAGACACACATTTAGGAATTCATCTACTTTAAGTTATTTCAAGTGTGCTCTTTATGACTCTGAAGCAAAGATGAAGAGTGACTTCTGTGACTGTATCAAGAAGTTACCTTGAATAACTTCAGTCATATGAAGTGTATTTTCCCTTGCAATTCTATATGTATGGAAAAAAACAATTAGTAGCTAACAGAATGGAGATCAGGGATGGGTGGAGTGGAAGTCCACGAGAATGGAATGTATTCACTCCCATCCCCCAAAACAAGGAAGTGGTAATTTTTTCCTTATAGCAGTCTTGTGAATAGTTTCATCCATTTGCTTATGGCAAGAAAGAATAATCTCTAATTGACTGCACAATGGTCAATAGATATATCAGGCAATTTCCAAGGGCTGCCATGCCACATGGGAGAAGACCTATTGTTTTATGGCAACTTAGATGATGGAAATGAGAGATGGTCACCAGATCCTGCTGCTCTGACCACAGATGATCAGACACTAGGACCTAGCAGCCTCCTTTCTTCTTCCAGCTGTCATGTGCATGCAGAAGTCTACAATAGCTGTGCATGAGGGCCAGCAACTTTGTTGACTTATCTGCACATCTGCCTTCCTACAGGGAGCTTTATCACCATCTAATGTTCCTGGGAAAGAAAAGAGAATACTATCCCGAGCGTATTTTAAAGAAAATGGGAAGGTAGATGCAACATCCCTAACAGTGCAGTCCTAAAAACGCTTTCCTGGGAGTAAGCCCCACTGAATATTCCTAAGTAGGATTCTGAGCAGACCTACTTAGGATTGCTCTCATTTATCCTGAAAGCCCTATGTAGGTAAATTCATGTACAGCCCTACCTGCTAAGCAGCGGCAGATTTGAGATCACAAATTAATATTTTCTCACGAAAGCATGTGCAAAGATTCTAGGACTGGCCTCTGTTGTCTAGTTGCAAAATCCTTATCTTACTGTGTTTCTGTTGCTCCACAGGAAGAGAGGAGGCACCACGCTGGAAGCCCAGCGCAACTAGGAAAACCATACTGAATTGGTGCTCGTAAATGGAAGTCATATTCTCAGAGAAGATGAGGAAAGCTGCTCAGAGGTCAGAAAAGCTAGACTCATTGAACTTGTACTACTTTGTAGGTATCTGTATAGTTAAAAGAACATTTGGTCCCGTAAGGTTTAGTTGGGTACATGATGCCCAATACTGTTATCTAATGTTACCCTTACTTTACTTAAGAACCAGCAAAGACTAAGGTGAAGCAGCTTTGGAAGAGCAGATCAAACGGAAGAGACAGGAATAGTGGAAAGTTATGTTTTCTGAGGCGGTCTGACAAGAATAGATCAAGCTGCCTCAAAGGAATAGACCATCCTCCTTCCATCAGCCCAGATAAAAATACTGTACTAGGACTAGAGTCTAGAAACTGAGGATGGTAAAAGAGTTTACATGAAATAACTAGTCACTTTTCCTAACAGCTTTACAGTACTTGATAGATTAAAATAATGTATGAACAGTCTCATAAGTCTGAACAGACCTTCAGTAAAGCTTTGTTGAAAATGCTCACAAATATTAAAGTTTATAACAAACGAAATATAAAGTCACATTTTAAGAGCACAGACAGATGCTGTTCAAATGCACACTAAACATAAGCTGATTCCAAGTATTCTAAAGGCAACAAAACACCAGGCACATCTACAATACTGGTTAATAACCTCTACATTTCACTGCTACAGTGCCCTCTGTACCTGAGACATCTTTGGAGAACTCTGCTGCCAATTTCCTCTCTGCCTCGTTATCACCCATTTCTGTCTCACACCCCATTGTGTCCTTCCCTTCAGAGGCAATCGTCTCTTCCACAGAAGTATTTCTGATGCTGTCTTCAATAGGTGATGCCAAGGAGCTGCTTTTATCCATGTCTGTTGGCTCTACAATAAAACAAATAAGAGAGCTGTATAGATATGCTTAAAACTGCTTACCAGGAGGGCTAATTTATCAGTTAAGTTAATTAAAGCTGCCTACACCAAGCTTAACATCACTGGCGAACGATGGATATTTTGCAATGAGAAAATGTCTGCCTAGATTACAAAATGTTAACAGATTAAAGTGCAAAACACTTTACCACATGAAACGAATAGCACTGCAACAAATAAACTGACTGAATTCTTTGTCCTTACCTTCCTTTTTTCCTTTCTCAGAACTTTCTTCTGGTGGTAGATCTTTATTTACATCTAGTTGCTGCTTTGAAAGTTCCTCTTTGCTGGTATCTGTATCTGTGTTGTCTTTATTCTCAATACTGGCCTTTTCCGTTTCATCAGCTGTTGCGCTCTTGTCCTCCAGTATTTCTCCTTTTCTGATCCTCACTGCTTCCAGAATTTCTTCTAATGTAAAAAAGAAAATCTCAGACACCAATGCAAGCTTTTAAAAGCTGAAGAGTAGAGCCATGAAGGACCAGACTGTGGAGTGCACCAGAGCTTGGTTCCTCTTCCCCTTGCCGAAGCATCACCCTGTACCACTAACCCAATATAGGATCTGTGTAATACAGCAACTGAGTAAACAATGCAGAGCATAGGTGTGCAATATTGATTTCACAGTACCCCATCTTTAAGCTCTGGGTGTTCACTGTATGTCCTTGTTCAAACCAACAGTCAATATGAAATTCTAGCAAATGATATTAGCAAGTAACAGTTGTATAGAATAATCTGAAGGCTTAATAGTATGCGTAGAGCACCCTCAAAAATTCCACAAATTGGTGTCTCCAGTATGAATCTGACTACAAATGGACATAAATTAAATCTAAGTGAGTTGCAAGTTTATAGAAAATAAATCAGGGCTCTCTGAAAGGGGATATGGTCAGTCTTACCATCTTCTGCTCTCAGTTTGATCACTGCAATGTTTTTAAAGGCTACAAGTTGGAGATAAGATCTTTCAAAAATATAAGAACACCAAGTTGTTTTCAAAGAGATGCAACAGCTACTGTAAAACAGAGTCAGGGGTCAGCCTGGGTGTTTGCTGGTGGTGAGCTTTTACTTTTAATTGTTGTTTTAATACTTTTGTCTGGTTTTTGGTTTTCCCTTTGGGGGACAGAGAATGAACATTAACTTAACATGAAGGTTCCTTCTTCAGGAGGGTGAGGAGGACATTCTGATACACTTGAGTTCCTCTTCCCATAATCCCTGGAGGCAGAAAATTGATTGCACTTTCCGTCTCCAGGGGAAGAGAAGCCCATTCCTAAGTCTGGAGACTTCCATAGATGATAAGAGTCCACAATGTGTGCCAAACAAACAAACATGGAGAACAAGGCTTACAGAACCCTATGAAACAAACCATACAGGTAAAGATAAACTGTTAGCACAGAGAACAATGAACATGGAGACTGGCAGTCAATCATCCTTCAGGAAGTATAGTAGATTGAACAGAGACCCTCCAACTAGGGTAAGTTCAGAGTGTCCTCCTCGTCCTCGAGATGAAGGAACCTTCATGGTAGGTCCAATACTCCATTCTCTCTTGAAAGGGAGGCGGACACTCTGATATGCTTGGGATGTTACAAAGCTCATCTGATTCCGGGAGGGAAGAGTGACTGCCAAGCATAGAGATAAAAGTAGGACTAAGCCACCTGCTGTAGGACTCTCCACACAAATGCTGCCTCAGCTGCAGTGATAGGTCCATCTTGTAGTGCCTGATAAACACTGACACTGAAGCCTAGGGAGCAGCCTTGTATACATCTGCAACAGATGCATATGTGTCAAACACTGCTGATGTGGAAGCACTCCTTGTTATATGAGCCAGGATTCCCTCTGGGACTTAGAGGCCCTGAGATTCATATGCCATGGAGATGAAGTCCTTTAACCACCTGATTAGTGTAGCTTTAGAAAACGTTTTTCCCTTTGACTGTTGGATGAAAGGTCACAAAAATGGACTACAATTTCTTAAATGGCTTGGTCCTTTTGATATAAATGTGAAGTGCTCTGTGAATGTCAAGTGAGTACCAATTCTTCTTCCTAGGATGAGATAGTTTTGGGCAGAAGGATGGCAAACATACCTCCCGTGAACTGTGAAAAGGTGTGTTGACCTTGGGAATGAAGGTGGGATCTGTGTGCAAGACCACCATGTCCTTGTGATACATAAACCCTTTGTGATGGAAACAGCACCAATCTCTGGGATCTGCCTTGCTGATTTAACTGCTACCACAAAAAGTACCTTCAGGGTAAGGAACTTCAGGGAAACTTCCCTCAGAGGCCCAAATGGAGGATTGGTCAGAGCCAGAAGAATGACTTGAAGTCTCCAAGAAGGAAACCTGTGCACTGTAGGGGGTTGAGACAAAGTGACTCCCTTTAGAAATCTCTTCACTCCTGGGTCTCTGGAGAGTGGTGTACTGCTAACTCATGAAAATACAGTGCTCAGGGCAGTTACTTAGCAATGAAGAGCACTTGCTCTTAGACCCTGAGAAACTCCATCCTGTAGGCAGGACAATACCTGAGGAAGATCCAGGATTTCTGGTTGCAGATGTCTCCTCTTGAAACATTTGACAAAGGCCTTCCAAGAACTGTTATAAATTCTGTAAGTTGAACTTCTCCATGGTATCTGATCAGAGAAACCCTGTGTGATCAGTGCTTGCTGCTCAATCTCCATCCTGTCAGACGAAACCATCTTATCTGGATGACAGATGCAACCCTGAGTTAGTATGCTGGGCAACACTGGAAGTTCCCAAGGAGGTTGAACTGACGATTTCAGCAGCTGGAAAACTAAGGCTTCCTGGACCAATATGGGGCCAGACAAATCAACTCTGCCTTCTCCCGTTTCATTTTGTTCAGAACCTTTGGAAATAAAAGTATTGGGGGAAAGGCATATAGAACGCCCAATGGCCATGGGGACATCAGAGCATCCACTTGCTCTGCTTGTTGACAGTAGTATCTCGGGAAGAATATGGGTGTCTTGGCATTGGTCAGGAAGGCCAAAATGTAGAACCAAGGACTGGAATGTTTCCTGGCTGAGGGACCACTCCTCCGGTTCAGCCTGGTGCGGCTGAGCCAATCTGCTTGAGCATCAGAACAGCCTGTGCCAGCTGCATAAGGTTAGATCTATGTGCTGACCACTAGGATGGTATATTGAAGGTTGGCCACTATCTTTATTAGGATTATCTCCCTTTCTGTTAAATATTCCACTACTGGAAACCAAAAGCCTTGGAATGTGCTTTGGTAATTATGTAAGTTTTGTTCTGTGGGACGGTATGTAATTTTGCTTTACTATAAAGCAGTCCCAGAGCTTACGTTGCCACATTAGTAGAATTGGACTTGATTTGTCCCTCCATTTTTTTGCTATTACAATTCTTGCGGCTGCTAAAAGATAAAGAGATTAATTATCTTTTATTTGTGATTTCTCTAGTGTTTAACTCATGGGAGAGAAGAGCCACCTCAAGATGCACAGGTAACTTAATTCCTGTAATTATGCATATTTGTTCTAAGATTTGTAATTAGAAAGCTTTAATGCTAGGGCAAAGCCACCAGCAATGTAGAAGGCCTCCAATTTGGCCACAATTCTTCCAGCATTTCGGGCTGGATTTAGCATTAATACGCTGTATTCTTGTCGGTGGCAAATACCATCTATTTATTACCTTGAATTAATTAAATCTAATAGCAAATATTTTAGATGTCATACTAGGAGATTTCCACATTTCTGGCCAATCTGTGTCTTTTATTCTGTCATGGCACTCTATATTCCAAATTGTCTGATAATTTATTTTAGGTGTCGATTTTATTAATGTTAAGATTTTATAGCCAGGAGAGTGAACAGGAAAAAGTGTTCAAGAAGAATTTTTTCTATTAAGGACAGCATAAACATTTGGAAGACACATACATCTGAAATGGGACAATGCTTTATTGACTTCTATAATAAGTTATATGATACATCAAACCCTTCACCATTTAATGTTAGAATGTTTTATATGGTTTTAGGATTATTTAAACTGTCTATTGTGTGTTTTATTCTTTCTGTAAGCCGCCCTGAGCCAGCTCCAGCTGGGAAGGTGGGGTAGAAATCTGATAATAAATAAATAAATAAATAAATAAATAAATAAATATTTGCTATGCCGCTGATGTTTTCTGCTCTGAGATAGGCTAGATGCTCTGCCCAGGACATGAGAATGATTGATTCTTGTTGCAGCTTCCTGGTTTTGCTGCAACATGGCCATGGTGTTGTCTATCTGTATACATATGTTCAATTGAGACAGATTGTCTTGGAAGTGAAGAAGTGCCAGAAAAATTGCACATAGTTCCAAAAGACTGATACTGAGAGGAGCTTCTTGATGGGACCAAGTCTCTGTACGTGGTCCAGTGAGCAATGGGCTCCCCAACCCATCAGGCTGGCATCTGCTGTGATCTGTTGGTATGTGGTCACTTGAAAGGGTTTGCCTATAAGCAAGTCTTTCTTGCTTGTCCACCAAAGGAAGTCCTTCCTGAGATGATGATTGATGCTAACTCTGGTGAGCCCCTGATATGTCAACAGTGTCCACTGAAGTACCCAAGAGTGTGCCCAAGCCCAACAAACTGTCTCAATAGCTGCAATAATGTAACCTAGCATACACCAGCAGGCACTCCAGGATCATCACCTCCATTGATTCTGCAGTGTGAACCTGTTTCACAGTCTGAACAACCTTCTCTGTTCTGTCTAGTGGAAGACACATTTTTTTCTGGATTGAATCGATCACTACCCCCAAATGGATGATGACTTGGCAGGTGTCAGTTGACTCTTCTGGAAGTTGATCAGGAAACCATGACTGGAGAGGCACTGGATAGTATCTTTATGTTGGGGTGGATTCCTCCCCCCCCCTCGCTTTACATGAGGGGATGTGAACGCTTGAACAATTTGATGTTTATCTTGTTTTAACTGCTCAGAACTCACAGTTCATCAGAAGACTTCCGCCAGGTAAGTAAAATCGCTTGTAAGGACAAAAAATGGGAAAGGGAAAAAAAAACTGAACCTAAAACCTAGAATTCAGAACCTAAAAAGGTTAGTCAAGAATAGAAGAGGGCCAACTCTAAAACTCTAATTATGAAACATACAAAAATATACATGTATTTATTAAACACAAATTAACATAACAAATAAGGGCCCATTCATACCTCATATACAAATATAAAAATACAAAGGCTGATAAAATAGACCTAACCAGGGTTCGTTTCGTAGAAAAAGAGCTAGGGGAACTCATTAGCATAACTCATTAGCATATGCCACACCCCCTGACATCAGGGGCCCGGCGGTGGACCTGCAAGGCCGGTGGGAGTGCGAGGAAGCCCCGCCAAGGCCCTCCCTGGCCCCAGGCAGGCAGGGGTGGGGAGAGGCGGGGAGGAAGCAACTTACCCTCCCTCTTCTCCTGCCTCCT